CCAATCACACCCCACCCCATAACAGAAGGCTGTCTACGTCCCTGGTGATCATTCTAAATGACAAAAAGTCCAAGTATGGCCAGGAGCCGGAAGCCAAACCAGAGTCGTCTGAGCTTCTGGCGTGGGGGGGAGGCTGAAGTCCAGCTGCTGCCTCTTTCCCCCCCTCAGGGTCCCCGCGCTCCCGGTGAAGAACCTGAACGGTACGGGGCCGGTGCATCCGGCTCTGGCAGGTGAGAAGGGCAGAAGGGCGGGGCCCACGAGGAGGCAGCCCCACCTGTCCGCCCCTTGACGGGCTGCTGGGCGGGGCCAGTTGGCCCCTGACACTGGGGTGGGCGGGGCCCGCAGGAGGCACTGCATTCGGCTTCCTCCCGGAGCAGGTGGGTGGGGCCCGGGGGAATCCCAAGGACCGGAGCGCTTGGTGGGCGTGGCCTGGCGGGCGCCCCGCCCCCTGACCGCCCCCTCCCGCCCCCGTCGCGCCCCCAGGGATGACCGGGATCCTGCTGTGTGCCGCCGGCCTGCCCGTGTGCCTGACCCGGGCCCCCAAGCCCATCCTGCACCCGCCGCCCGTGAGCAAGAGCGACGTCAAGCCCGTGCCCGGGGTGCCCGGGGTGTGCCGCAAGACCAAGAAGAAACACCTCAAGAAGAGTAGGCCTTCCGCGCCGGCTCTGACCCCACTAACCCGACCCTGGACCCTGACTCCTCGGGACTCAGAACCCCACCTCCATCATCTCCTGATCTCAGCTCCCCTTCCCCTGCCCCCTCCGCCACCAACTCTGATTACGTCGGCCGCTGACTTGTGACTCCTGCCAACCCCTCTCTCAAGCCCTGGGGGCGTGGGGGGGGGGCGGGGGCGACCCGGGGCACCCTCAAGCCCGCCCCGCTGTGTCCTTGCAGGTAAGAACCCCGAGGATGTGGTTCGAAGGTACATGCAGAAGGTGAAGAATCCGCCGGATGAGGTGAGTCCCCACCGGAGGACACTCGCCAGGGCCGAGGGCCCAGCCCCTGACCCGCGTCTCCTCCCGTGGTCCCGTGTGTTACAGGCTCTCCCCCCAGCTGGGGGTTTGCCTTTTCCATTTTCACAGTGTCTTCTGATGAACAGAAACGCTTAGGTTTAATAGAATCACATTTATCAATCTTTGGATGGTTGACGGCTTTTATATCTTATTTTCACCCATATTTTTTCACCCAGTGTTCTAAGTTTTGCTTTAATCCCCCGAGGCGGGGGGTGGCGGGGGGGCATCTCTTCCTCTGCTGCGTGTCTGCAGTGCATGGGGGTGTCCTCTCCGTTTGACAAGTGGGTACCGCAGAGGGGGCGGCCTGCCACCTTTTGGCGGCCGGAGGGCCTGGCCCCGCCAAGGGTTCAATGCTGACCTGGGCCAGTCGTCAGTCTCCCCTCTGCCCCTCCGTCAGGACTGCACCATCTGCATGGAGCGGCTGGTCACGGCCTCCGGCTACGAGGGCGTGCTTCGGCACAAGGGCGTGCGCCCCGAGCTCGTGGGCCGCCTGGGCCGCTGCGGCCACATGTACCACCTGCTGTGCCTCGTGGCCATGTACTCCAATGGCAACAAGGTGGGCAGCGCGGTGGGGGGCGGGGCGGCAGGGACGGGGGCGGAGGGGCGGGGCCTGGGCGCCTCACCCGCCCTCCCGCCCGCCTCCCCTGCCCCAGGACGGCAGCCTGCAGTGCCCCACCTGCAAGGCCATCTACGGAGAGAAGACGGGCACTCAGCCGCCTGGGAAGATGGAGTTCCACCTCATCCCCCACTCGCTGCCGGGCTTCGCCGATACCCAGACCATCCGCATTGTCTACGACATCCCCACAGGCATCCAGGTGAGGCCCCCGAGCCCCCGCCCCAGATCCTCTGCACCCTGCAGAGCTCCCCTCTACCCCCACACCTGTCCGTGGCTCAAGCCCCTGCTGCCCCCCCACAGGGCCCTGAGCACCCCAACCCAGGCAAGAAGTTCACCGCAAGAGGCTTCCCGCGCCACTGCTATCTGCCTAACAATGAGAAGGGCCGGAAGGTGGGTGCTGTGAGGGTGCAGGGGTGTGGGAGCAGGCCGGGGACCCCCCTCACTCCCAATCCCTGTCTCTTCCCCTCGCCAACATTGCCCATTGCCTCCTAGTGCGTGTCCAGCCCTGCAAGGTGGTTTCATACACCTTGTCTCACTTCCAGCTTGATGAGGTCAAGGTCTTGACCCCATTTTACAGATAAAGAAACCGGGCCTCAGAGAGGGCAAGTAACTTGCCCAGGATCACACAGCTCGTAGGTGGTAGACCCCAGATTTCAACCCACATGGTCCAGGCTCTTCACCACCCGCACTACGGATTGCCTGCCTCACTTGTTGCTTTTCAAGAGAAGAAATTCTGATTTTCATGTGACATCTCCAGGCTTTTGAAGTTTGCCAGAGAAGTCACAAAATGGCTCTTTAGTAAACCAAACACAGCTGAGGGCCTTCAACTGGAGACCCAGATGACACTGGCAGATAGCCTGGGAAGAGCTCTTACTAGGGGGGTCCATCTAGGAAGGGAGGTGGCCAAGCTGGGCGGCCAGCGCGAATGCCCGGGGCTGGGAAGGTGCGGAGGAGAGGGACCACCACTTGGCCAGGGCAGGAGGGAGGCCGGGTGGGAGGGGCTCCAGCCACAAGGGCAGGGATGCCTGTGGCCTCCGCTCACCTCCCCCTCCTGTTGCGGTGCCTGCCCCCAGGTTCTGAGGCTGCTCATAACCGCCTGGGACCGGAGACTCATCTTCACCATCGGCACGTCCAACACCACAGGCGAGTCGGACACCGTGGTGTGGAACGAGATCCACCACAAGACGGAGTTTGGATCCAACCTCACAGGCCATGGCTACCCGGACGCTAGCTACCTAGACAACGTGCTGGCCGAGCTCACAGCCCAGGGCGTGTCCGAGGCCGCAGCCAAGGCCTGAGGCCCCGGGGCTGCCCACTTTCCCTCCTGCTTTGCCCCTAGTCCGGCACTTGCCTCACTCCGCCACACCAGGTGTGTCCTGGTGGCCCAGGTTCAGGGCTGGGGAGGAGCCCGCGGAAGGAGCCAGAAGCATCCTGGGGATTTGGCTGGTGGCGGCTGAAACGATGGGAGGAGGGTGGCAGGCCAGCCGCCCCGACTTGCAGCTCCCTGAGAGGGTGGCAGAGAGAAGAACACCACGCCTCTGCAGCCTCCCTACCGAAAAGACAGAGCCCCACCCCCTCACGCTGAACACATGCACGCACACCCACGTGCCTCTACTTACCCCCAGGCTGGGGGGGAAGAGACAGAACACCCCCGTGACACTCCCTGTGGACTCCCATCCGTGTCTCTAGCACATCTGTGTAGGCTTGTCTGCAGGCGGGATTCAGGTCAAGCCCCTGGGCGTCTGCTTGGACTCCTGGGGGAAAGGGGCCCCCCCTCCGCTACCCACTGATGGGCACTTGTGGGCCCCTGGGGTGGGCGCCCCAGGCCAGTCAGCAGCTTTGCAAATGGGCAGGCCAGAGAGAGGGGACTAGAGCGATCTTGTTTTGTGCTTGTGTCTTTTCATCCGTCTGGGACTCTGACCTCCTTCTTCTCCCCTCCCATCGCCAGGCCTCATGTCTGTCCCAGATAAAGGCACTGTTCTCCTCTGTCCCCTCCCCGTCCTGTCCTCTCCACCAAATCGCTCCCGACGCCGAGATCCAAAGGCTGGTCGAGGCCGAGCTTAGGCCCACAGGTCTAAAAAAGCGGACCGGACCGCAAAGAGTCCATTCCCAGTCCCCTGGGAGTGGGCAGTGGGGTGGCTGATGGCCTTGGCCAACCAGGGGCCTGTTGCCCAGGCAACTCACCAGCTCCGCCTCTGTTGATTGGCTGCCACGGTGGAAGTCAGCCAAGATTTAAAGGGACGCCAGCGATTGCTCTTTTGAAAACCTACCAGTCCCACTGTGGGTGGAGAAATAAATGGTCTTTCTCCTCCTCACTCAGTTTTTTCCTGCCGAGACGGGGGCTGGGTGGGTGGCTCTGTTCCTGGGGGCCTCTGCCCACCCCCCCCCCTTCAGGGAGCTTGCAACAAAATGATGACCCCAGGACCATTGCCCCTCTCTCAGTCTTGGGCAGAGTTGGAGGGTCCCCCTAATTCTCTTGTCCCCGGGTACGCAGGGGGTGTGAAGGTGGCAGAGGCCGAGGGTATCCCAGAGAACACGGCTGAACGTGCTCTTCTAAAGCACAGCCCAAGGCAACGCACAAAGCCGCTCCCTGGTGCAATACTAGGAATGAGATACTTGGCCTTGTGGCGGGCCGGGGGGGGGGGGGGGGGGGGGGGGGGGGGGGGGGGGGGGGGGGGGGGGGGGGGGCTGAGAGCCTCCGGGAAAACATGGAGGAGCTGGGAGACATCGTGATCGGCTCCTCGAGCCCCAGCCCCTGCCCTAAGGAAGGAGGGTCTGTGTAGACGCAGATGCCAGGATCTGCAACAAGCTTCCTATCAGCCTCAGCAACATCCTAGGATGCTGGGTGGCTGGGGCGGATGCCGCGGCTCCAGGCGACCCCTGCTGGCCACTCTCGGCATAGCGCTGCATCTTTCCTGGTCCCCGTTATCCCAGATCCGCTTTGGGACCTGTCCCGCTCTCCAGTCACACAAAGCCAGAAATGAGTCCTTGGAGGCCTTTCCAGTTTTGCCAGTTGGGTGTTCTCATCTTACCCTCTGTGATTCATTCTCAAAATCTCACTTCGGACCCTAATATACAAAATCTCCCAGCCCCGTGATCTTCAAGTCTTGCGTTCATCCCTATCACCTGGGAAACTTGTTAAAAATCCTGCCCCCTACCCCCCCACTCCCTCAGATTCTGATTGGTAGATCCGGGTGGGGTCCCAGAATCTGCATTTCTAGCAGACAACCAAGGGGGTGAGCTTTGGACCACAGTCTAAGAAACCCGCCCGCCCCTAACCAGCCCCCCCCCCCCGGTCTCCCAAGCCAGCTCCGTGGAACCCAACTTGACGACCACACATCTAGACACTCCTTATTTTATACAGCGGGAACTGAGGCTCAAAGAGGGGACATGAGCCCAGCCCAGGGCATCCCAGGCTCTGAGGCTCTGAGTTGGGCACACTGGGCTCCGAGCCTCCGTTATTCCTGAGGGAACCCGATTCTGGAAGCTTGTGGTTAGGACTCTCAGCCAAGGCAGGGCTCAGGAGGGTCACTGAGGTTACACGGATTGGCAGACATGAAAACAGGATGGGCTGCGCCTCATTGGTGCCAGTCTGGGCAACAAGGCCACGTGGGCATCAGGGATTCACGTACGGCTGGATCCAGCAGCTCAGGGCCAGGCCGGCTTGTCGGTGTGAGTCGAGGCCAGTCCGGTCTGGCAGAGACTTTCGGCTGAGCCACATGAGTCAGGCTCCTGTCCGCTCCCAACTGCCTGGGCCCAGAGGCCGGGACTCATTCAGTACCAGGCCAGCCCCGCTGCCAGGGGGCTTCCTGCCTTGGGTTCCGGACTTTGGCCACAGAGACTAGAAGATCTCCAGACACGTCCACGCTGCAGCATCGACAAGGTACAGGACAGCCGAGGGGGGCCCGGGGGCCCCAAGAAGGGCCCGATGGCTCCTTCCTCGTCCTTCTGGGCTGGCTCTGGCATCGCTCAGTGCCCGAGGGGGCCCGGGGCTACCCTCTGCCGCTCCTGCTGCTGGAGCTCCTCATGGGCTCTGTCCAGATCGGCCAGCACCTCCAGCAGGCGGCCAGCTGCCTCTCTCTGCCGGCCCAGGGCTTCCGGACAGGCCCCTAAGAGGGAGATATGGTGCCAGGGGGCTCAGGCAGGCCAGGGCAGGCTCCTGCGACCCAGACCCAGTGGCTTTCTCAGGCTCCACACTGGCCGTGTGCCCCCAAGAGCCTGCACACTCCATCCCCCCGCTCACCGCACCTGTTGGTGGACTGGGAACGGGGCAGTCGGGGGACAAAGAAATAGGGGTGTGCTTGACAGGTCGTGGGAGGTGGCCGAGAGGGCAAAGACAAGGGGCCCCTTAACCCCTTACCTTCCCTGGCTCTGGAGGCCCTCCTTGCCTCTGCCTCGGGACTTGTATCTATGTTGAAATCCGCCTGGAATTTCATCCTGGAAGTTGAAAGAGAGGAAGGCAAGGCTGGTCCCGGATCCCTAATCTTGTTCTGCACCCCAGAGATTCTCTGCTGGAATTACAGATTCCTGGTGGTCACCACCGCCGCCGCCGCCACCATCACAGCAAATACAGCACGCCAGGCGCTGTCATGAGCCCTTCACATGTATTCACTCCCTTAATGATCACGACAAATGTATCTGACGTAGGTACTTACTATTAGCGCCATTTTACAGTCCACTGAGGCACAGAGAGGTAAAGTACTCGCCTAAGGTTGCACAGCATGATAATAAATGTTACCATTTACTGAAAGCCAACTGCGACCGGGCATCTACAAAATGCTTCACCTATATTAGCTCATCTGACCCTCAGAACAAGTCCGTGGGGTCGGTACTATGATTATCCCTATTTTCCAGACGAAGAAACAGACGTACAGAAAGGGTAAGCAACGTGGCCAAGATCACACAGCCAGTAAGTGGCTAGCTCAGAGTTTGAACCCAGGGCAGGCCAGCTCAGAACCCACTCTGCAAGGAATGGAAAAGGATCTCTGTCACTGAATGATGGTGAAGCCAACCAGGAAGGAAAAGGGGCACGTCCGAGGTCTGTGCCCGTGTCTCAGCAGCCCCGACAGCAAGAGATCCAAGATCCACTTCCGCACTAGGACCCTCGCCGGCAGCAGCAGGTCAGCTGACCACGGGGGAAAGACTGAATAAATGAACATGGGAGACCATGGGGGCGGGGGGACGGCTGGCCTGGCGGGTCACAGCGGGGGAAGTGGAATGGGGGTGCACCCACCTGAGCTGGTCGCGCCCCAGGAGCAGCTGCCGGTACACCATCTGGATCTCAGCGTCAGGGTCCAGCGGGTCACTCCAGTCCCCCAGGGTGACGGCCGAGTGTGTGCGGCTGCAGCCAGCGGCTGAGGAGGACATGGCGCCATCAGTACCGTCTCCCGTCGCCCCCCCCAGAAGCCCCCAGGGCACAGGGTCGCCGAGCCCAGACCGTTCTGCGTCTAAAATCGCTCTTCCCACCCGCTACTTCCTTCAAAGCCCCAATGCCCGCACCCTGGCACAGCAGAGCAGTAGCCTCGCCTCCCTCCAGCCTCCTCCCGCAGTCCAGCCACACAGACCCTTTCGGACCCTTCAGCCCTCCTGGCGCCGCCTCCAGGCCTTTGCTCGGGCGCTTGGCCCTGCCTATGGCACGTCCTTCCCCATCCCAGTCTCCAGCCTCACTGCTTAAAGCCTACTTTTCAGGTCCTGTCGCAACAGCACCTCCTCCAGGAAGCCCTCCTTGATCTCCTACCCTGCGGCTGGGTCAGAGGCATTCCCTGGAGTCTCAAAAGCCTCAACTTGGTAGTTATAAGACCGTAGTACACTTGTCTGGCTATTCACTGGTCTTCATTAGAGCAACCTTGATGTCCGTGGACCACTGGACGCTTGGCACACAGAAGGTGCTTGAAAAAATATCTCACACATAACGCTTGGAACACTGCATCCTCACCACAGCCCAGGGAGGCAGGCAGTGCTGTCAACCCCACTTCCGGCTTGAAGAGCGCGAGGCGCGCAGAGGTCAAGTAACTTGCCCGGGGTTGCACCGCTAGCTCAGGAGGCGGGACTCCCGCTGACTGACAGCCAGGGAGGGCGGAGCCCGAGTCCGCCCCGCCCCTCACCTGAGCGCTCGGCCTGGAGGCAGCACGTCCAGCGCGAGCTGCGGAAGGCCCCGGGGTGGCAGGTGGCCAGCTTGTCCGGGTTGGGGGCGCTGGCCTTGCGCAGGGCCGACAGCCACTGGTTGAGCTCGTTCACATTCTGCAGGGAGTCGGGGTTGGGGGGTGGCGGTCAGGGGTGGGGTGCGACCCAGGGGACGCCCTCCGGCCCCATCCTGGCGGCGCCTCACCTTGCACTGGAGGTAGGTGGTGTGCAGGGCGCCCGCACCATCCTGCGCAATCACCTGCATCACGTGCGGCAGCTGGAAGGCGCCCTCGTCCACGCGCTCCACGGCGCGGATGTGCGACACCGGGATGGAGGAGCGCATCTGGGAGACAGGACTGTCGCTGCAGGGCGCGCCGGGGTGCCAGCGGCCCGGGGACCCTGGGCCCCTCCAGCCCGCGGGTCTGTGATCTGGGTGCACGTCCCCGCCCCGCCCCAGCCCTGCCCCATCGCTCTCTCGGAAACCCACGACCTTCTCGGGCATCAGTCCCCTCGTCATCACCAAACAGCAGAGCAACCGCCGACCCGGCCCCCGGGCGAGCCCCGAGCTCGCCGCGTCCATCAACTTCCACAGAGGCGTGAGGCTGAGCCTGCGCGCACAGGAGGTCCCTTGACCCCCCCCCCGCCCCCGAGGTGGGGCGCCCGAATCGGAACCCAGGCATTGGAACCCTAGAATCTATGCTCTGCTGACAAGGCAGAAACAATGCGGCCCAGGGCCCGCCATTATTCACGGGTGTGCGTGCACAGAAGTGTGTCAGTCCCAGGCCTGCTTGAGTTGGTGCTGGATTTGAATGGCGACCCCGGGAGAACACGGATGTGACGCCTCGTTTACTACTGTACGTCCGGTGCCTGGAACACTGTGCGGTATACAGTCGGCGCTCCGTAAATGTTTGATGCATGGCTGAGTGAACAAACGTCTGCGTGTGCGCGCCTAGGCAGCCAGGCACGGGCCTCTGGGCGAGCAGACCCCGTTTTATGGGGGTGGGATGGCACATGGGCCCAGGCCGGGGCGGGAACGTCTCAGGGCAGGAGAGCCTTGTCTGCGCCCCCTGTCCCCTGCGTGTCCCCCTGTCCCCTGCGTGTCGTGTTCGCGTCTGGGAAGGCCGGCCGGGGCGCCACCAGGGGCCTTCTGAGGGACGTCGATGGGGAGTGGGCGCACGCATGCGCCTGTCCCGTGCCCCCCAGGCCCAAAGGTGTGAGCAGGGCCTGGCCTGAGAGCTTGGACTTGCTAAGTTCGTTGCCCCATTCCTGGGCCTCAGTTTCCCCCTGCGTGCAAAGAGGCGGCTCTGCAAGGGAGCCCGCCTCGGGAGACCCCTCCGCTGCGGGCTGGGGTCCCACCTGCCACTCAGGGCCCTTGGAGTAGGACAGAGTCTCCCCGCTGAGCCGAAAGTAGCGCTTCTTGAAGGCAAAGCGTGTGGCCAGGCTGGCGGACTCCTCCTTGCGCTTCAGCAGGTGACCTTCGCGGACAATCACCGAGGGGGCCACCAGCGCCCGGGGCGGGCCCCCAGCCTCTGGGAAACGGGGAGGGGGGACAGTGAACCCTCATATCCCGGCTCAACCTGCCCCTGCAGATGCGCCCAGGGCCTCTATGGACGAGCGGGATTCTCTGCCCCCTAGGGGCCGCGGGGTGAACGGCGGGGGGCGGGGAGCGAGAAGTCGATCTTGAGGATCCCTCCCCTGGAGCCCCACAGGGGGCGGTGCAGGCAGCCAGCAGGGGTGTGGGGAGGCATGCCTTATGAAGTCAGTCCAGGGAGGGCCCAGGATCTAGCCACCTGGGGAGCCCAGACACAGGCACCAGGGCGCCACATTCTGACAGGTGCACCTATCTGACTCGCACCCAACTCTCTGTCGACCTGGGCCCCACACTGTGATGCAGACTTAACCCCAAGTCTTCTGCTGAAACGTGTCCCATGCCCCATTTCACCCCACATCGAGCCTCCAATCCTTCCAGCGGCTTATGAAGCCGCCCACAATCTGGCCCTCACCTCTCCTTTGCTCCCTGCCATTCATTCTTCTACATTGACTCCTCGCTGTCGCTCTCTGTCCCCACCTCAGGGCCTTTGCACATGCGCTTCCTAGCCTGGAATACTCTTCCCCTGGATCTCCATGGCTTGCCCTCTGTCTCCTTCAGTCTGTGCTCTAATAGCGCCCTAGTGAGGCCACTTGTGGCCACCCTATCTAAAAGTCCAAACTACCACCCCCCACCCCAGCATTCTCCTCCTTCCTTTATTTCTTCTCCCACACCGATCACTCCCTAACACACTGTATTATTTGCTAACTCATCTTGGTTACAGCCTGTGGCCCCCATTAGAATAAAACTTCCACGAGAGAGGGACTTCCTTCTGTCTCATTCCCTGCTGTTCCCTAGCACCTGGAACGGTGTCTAGTAAGCACGTAATAGATATTTTTTGATGGCGTGACCCCCTGTAATAGACAGTGCCCACCCACATCGCCACACTGGCCTGGAGGATGGGGCCTGAGCTCTGCTCCTCTCTGGGACCTGGCACAGTATGGGCCAGGAAGTGTTAGTTGACTGACTAGCTGACCCACAGGTCCATAGTCCCGGTGCTGTGGGGGGAAGGGGAGGAGCAAGGGCAGGTCCCAAGGCCAAGTAGAGTGGCAGAAACACGGGAACTCACCCTCCCCCCCATCCACGTCCGCCAGCTGGTCCAGGAAGTCTCTCACACGTGGGATACTCTGCAGCAGGAAGGGGTGTAGGGGGGCCATCCAGAGTTCCTTGCCCTGGCCCAGCTGCTGGCCCAGGTTTCCGATGCTCTGCACGGCCTGGAGCGAAGAAGCCAAGGTCACTGCAGGGGGCAGGGCCTTCTGTGGACCCAGATCAGCACACCTAAGTCCTTAACTCCCAAATCAGTGCTCACCAAAAGGAGGAGGGTCATATCTACCCCTCCCTGGGGACAGATGCGCACCCCCAGACCCCTCGCCATTCCCTGCAGAGCTCAGTTCCCCCACCCAGGACTGCCTGACCCTATCACATGTGCTTTGGAGCCCGTCAGAACCTCAAAATATGGGGCTCCTGGCTCGCTCCGTCAGAAGAGCGTGTGACTCCTGGGGCGTCTGAGTGGCTCAGTTGGTTAAGTGTCCAACTCTTGATTTTGGCTCAGGTCATGATCTCACAGTTGTGAGATCAAGCCCTGCATCAGGCTCTGCACTGGGCGTGGAGACTGAGATTCTCCCTTTCCCTTTGCCCCTCCCCCACTTGCACTTTCTTCCTCTCTCTCTCTAAGGAAAAAGGTGTGTGACCTGGGGTTGTGAGTCCAAGCCCCCTGTTGGAAGTTGCTTAAATGAATAAAAACTTAAAAAAAAGAACGTCAAAATATGGTCACTTTGCAAATGATGGCCTAATTCATACTAAGGTGTAAATGACTTCTAGCCTGCTTCCCACTTCCCTCCTGAAAGAGTAGAATTTTCATTTCAGGAGAAGAAATTGGCTAATGTAACAAATGCCTTCACATTCAGGAGGGAAAGCTAATGGGTATTTCAGACGGGTTTCTCTGGGTCTCAAACCATTTCGGCAGGTTTGGCCTTCAAGCTCTGTTCCTGTGCTTTTCCCTGGCTAAGCACCCCCAGGATGTGGGACTCTACTTTCAGCACCTTGGCGAGAAGTAGCAGCGAGCGGCTGGTCTGGGGGTCCGCATGCTGGTCGCGGAGGTCAAACAGCTTCGGGGTGAGGACGGCAGGTGCAAAGAATCGCAGGAACAGAAAGCCACTCGTGGCCAGGTACTTCACATCCTGCCAAGAGGAGCGGCAGGTGAGAAGAGCCCCCCAAACCCACATCCCAGATGGGGAAACTGAGGCAGCAAGGACGATGCATTGGTGGTGCAAGGGAAAGGAGGATGGGAGGCGGACCATGAGATCACATTGGTCTGCCAAGCCGGCTTTTTCTCTCTGGACCTCAGTCCCCCCCCCGCCCCCGCCCCCAGAAAACAGAGTAACAATACCAATCCCACACTATCAGCTTTAGCCAAACATCCTCAGAGTCTGCTTTGTGCCGAGCACTGTGCTAAGGGTACAGCTCTGTAAAGGAAGCACCGTCATTATCCCCTCTCACGGAGGAGGAAGCAGAAATTCAGAGACGCCCAGTGACTGACCTGAGGTCACACAGCTGATAGGTAGAGGGGTCAGAATTCAATCCAGATCTATGATTGATGATTAGAACAGCAACACGCCAGGTACCTCTCCATACATTTTGTTTAACACCCACCCTCGGAGGGATGAGATCTCCCTTTTACAGAGAAGGCAGCTGAAGCCGAGAGAGAGAAGGCCACTTGCCCAAGGCCACAGAGCTGTCAGTGGCAGGGCCAAGATGTGAGCCCAGGCGTGAACCTGAACTTGCAGCTCTTCGTCACACTCTCGTGCCTTCAGTCCTAAGCTACGGTGGAGCCCTTGCTGAGTGTCAGGAACTGATCTAAACTACCAACAGTCCTATGCAGTAGGGGCTGCTATCCCCATTTTCTGGATGAGGAACCTGAGGCTCAGGAGCGAACCCAGTTCAGCTGGCTCCTGAGTCTACCCTGTGTGCACCCCCAGCCCCAGCCTCTGCCTCCTACAAACTGTAAAGTGTGGTGCCCCCTCTGTGTGAGCCCCGGGCCCGGCCCACCTGCAGATAAGGCTGGTCCCCACAGCTCCGGCAGAGGGACCCCAGAGAGAGGGTGTGCCTTTATCCGGGTGCGTCTGGCTCTCCCCATATCACTCCCCGACCGCCCTTCACACTTACCCAGCTAGATTTAGCCCAAAGATGTGCCTCAGGATTTATTTAGGGTTTGTATTCGCACATGAGACAATAGCGTCCCTGGGTGCCTGCCTACTTCCCACGGCACCTCTGCCCTGACCGTGAACCCTGCCTGACACTGCACCCAGCCGCGCGCATCTGGAGCCCTGAGCTGTCCCCGAGGCCCCCACCCCCTCAACTGCCATATTCCGGGGTAACTGTAGTCTTCGGTATCAGCTCTTCGACTTCCTCCTTGCTTAAGGAGGAATAGGTGTCAGAACGGCGGGGAAAGGGCTTCCCCAGGGTCTCCGTGACCCTGTCCACCCTCATGGGTCTCAGAAAGTCCCTGCCATGGCCTCTGCCCCCGCCATGGGAGCAAAAGACCGGGGGACACTTGGGTGTCACTGATACTAGGCCCCCCACACGTGCCAGGCTGTCTGGCCTCCCCCTCCCCTCCCCCCGCCGTCACAGCTCTGTCCCACTTAGCACCTCTAGTCCAGACGACAGCCTGGCAAAGTGGGGCGTAAATCAAGCGACGTCCCAGTTTGGAGGCCCAGAGCTCACTCCTCGGCGGGAGCTGAGAGGAGAAGGGAGGGACCCCCACTGGGAGACCAGAGGCCTAACTTTGAGTCCACAACCCTTGGCCAAGGCTCTTTCCCTCCTTGTGCCTCAGTTTCCCGATCTGTAAGCAGAAAGTGGGGAGAAGTATGGTATGATCGAGGGCTCTTAACTCAGGCTCTGGGGGCTGGGCTGTCACATCTCCCAACATTTAGCAGGTCTAGGTTCCCCCGCAAAGTGAACCCCCAGTCCGCACTTCCTTTTTTTTTTAATTTTTTTTTTAATGTTTATTTTTGAGAGAAAGAGACAGAGACAGAGTATGAGCAGGGGAGGGGCAGAGAGAGAGGGAGACACAGAATCTGAAGCAGACTCCAGGCTCTGAGCTGTCAGCACAGAGCCCAACGCGGGGCTCGAAACCACGAACTGTGAGATCATGACCTGAGCCAGAGTCGGTGGATGAACCGCCTGGGCCCCCCAGGTGCCCCCTGCACTTCTACTACATCAGCGCTACATAAGAGCCTGATTTGATGTCATCTGTAAGTGAGGCCAGCAGCCACCTCAGAAGGCTTGCTGACCATTAAACGAGGGGAGCTCAAACTGGTGACCCACCGGCAGCCCAGCTGCAGACACGTAATAATTGGCTCAAAGTGTTGTCGTGCTGTCGTTTTTAGGTGCATTAGTACCAACATTTAAAAAATGAGAGATCTCACGCAAAATCCAGAAGGTTGGCTTTCAAAAATAAACTGTGGGGCGCCTGGGTGGCTCAGTCGGTTGAGCGCCGACTTCGGCTCAGGTCATGATCTCTCAGTTCAAGAGTTCAAGCCCCACATCGGGCTCTGCACTGACAGCTCGGAGCCTGGAACCTGCTTCGGATTCTGTGTCTCCCTCTCTCTCTGCCCCTCCCGTGCTTGTGCTCTGTCTCTGTCTCAAAAATAAAATAAACATTTAAAAAAGGGGGGCGGAGAAAAGAAGCTCTGAAGATCTGGCAATGCTGGGTCCCCATTCCTGCATGGCAATAACTGATTGTCTGCCCCCTTAAGACAAGCTGTGGGAGCGCCAATTTGCCAGAGTCCCCGCGACGCCCTACTGCCCCACAGCTTGACCACTTTGCTCATTGATCTCCCCTTCCCCAGGCCTGCAGCACCTGCGTCCTCACCTTTTATGTCAATATTGGCAAAGCCCTAGCACGTGCGGGGATTTATCTTTAGGCTATTCGTCTGCTACGAAGCACCTACTGTGTGCCAGCATGCTCTCTCTCTCTCTCTCATAGCTGAATTTAAGAAGCACTTACTTCGTGCCAGACTCTATTATTTGGTGGTTTTGGCTGCAGATTCAGAAGCCAGCGTGCGTAGATGGGTGCCTATCCCAGCAACCTAGCCATTTAACTTAACCTCTCTGGGCCTCTGTTTCCTCCTCTGTAAAATGGGAGAATACTGGTGGATATGAAGATGAGATAATGTAATGCATATGTAAGAGTAGGTCCAACCCATGGTAAGGGCTCTATATAGCATTAGCTGCTGCCATTATTATTATGATTATTATTATCATTATTACTGCCTCCCTTACCCAGACCCAGGTTCGGTCCCACCTCCGCCCCGCTTCTCCGCATGACCCTGGACAAGCTACACCCCTCCCCAGCTTCAGTCTCCCCACCTGCTCCGTGGGAAGGTGCCCACCTCGTACTCAGCCTGGGGGAAGCGCTCCTCCACGCGCCGCCGCAGCTGCTTGAAGGCGAGGCGCATGGCGAACGGGCAGCGCTCCACGGAGCCCACAATGGCGTCCACGATGGATCCCAGGTAGCCGGTCAGCAGCCCCAGGCTGGCCTCCCGCACATGCTCCTCCGAGGGTGCACCCTTGAAGGAGATTCTCCTGGGGAAACGGAGTGGCTGTGCCTTAGAGGCCAGCATCTGTCTGCTCAAAACCCTCCACCAGCCCCCGCTGAGCTGGGAATACACACCTTCCCATTCCACCCCCATCACCTCCCCTCCTGCCCTCCCTGCCTTCCCGGCTTCTTGCTGCTGCTGAAACACACTAAGCTCATTCCTGCCCCAGGGCCTTTGTACGTGCTGTTCTCTCTGTCTGGGATGCTCTTGCGCACACATTTAGCTTAAATGTGCCCTCCTCAAAGAGGCCATCCCTTCCCCATCCCATATCATCACACACCCTGGTTTGGTGCCTCGTCAGCATGGACATGCTGGACACACGTTCCCACCTCAGGGCCTTTGCACTTACTGTTCCCCCTGCCTGGGATTCGCTTCCTCCGGATCTGCGCATGCCTCCCTCCCTCAGCTCCTTCAAGTCTTTGTTGAAATGTCCCCTTCTCTGTGAGCCCTTCCCTGTGACCCCGCTATGGACTATTGCAAGCCCCTCCCCCTCTCCTGGCACTTCCCACAACCCCCACCTGCTCCATCTTCCTCCATTCCACAGATCACCTGCAATAACCTTCTTTAGTTGACTACCTCCCGCTAGAAGAGGGGCTTGCGCCCACCTATTCCCCGCTGTGAATCAGCGCTCAGCCCGTGTCTGGCACGCAGTAGGTCCTCAACAACGGTTCTGTTGAGTGCATGGTGAGTGGAATAGCACTTTGCTACGTGTGATGTTCTTGTTCCCTTCGTTCTCATTCCCACGCAGGTGCAGGGTCCATCCCGCCCACCTCAGAGCCGGGATTTGAACCCAGGAGCTCAGCTCCCGAGTCCTGCCCATAACCACCCCACCACCCCGCCTGCAGAGCTCGGTGCTCACGGCAGAGGCTCTCTGCCCGAACGCCGCACTCGCGAGCAGCTGTGCCAGAGGGAGGGTGCGGCGGCTGGCACAGGCGCAGACTCAGCCTGACAGGGCCCCGGGCGGGCGAGGGGGCTCTCAGAGGGTTGGGGTTCAGCCCTCAGGCTCTGCTCACCTGGTACGACCCAGGTCTATCTTGCACGGGTCCAGCTCCACGTATTTCTTTTCCTCGAAGACGCGGTTAATCACCGGCTTCAGGACCTCGTGCAGGTAAGGCATGCCCACGAGCTGGGGGCAGGGGCACCACGTGGGGCGGGGTTGAGGATGAGGCTGGGGCGTGCCCAGGAGCCAGGGGCCGGGAGGGGTGGGGAGCAGGCAGGGAGAGGCGCAGAGCGAGGCTGGGGCGTGCCCAAGAGTGCGGGGGTGGGGGTGGGGGGTCCATCGCGGTGCCAGGCACCAGCCACCAGCGTCCCAGCTCCGCCACCCGGGTGACCCAGAGCCACCTGCCAGCCAAGCTCTGGGGTCCCGGGAAGCACTGGAAACGGAGTCCCCTTGAAGAAGCCGCCACCAGGCCCCACGGGGCCTTTGCCTTCTCACCTTCATAAACTGTTCCATTGACTTGGATGCCAGGGAGTTGGAGCGGAAGAGGGTGTTGGGGTCGGCTGGGGGGACGGAGGGAAGTGCCTGTTGGGATTTGGAGGCTCCACCCGCCTCGCCCCGCCCACCCAAGGTAGGAGTCATGACTCTTGCAGCCTCAGGAACCCCGGAGAGCTGCAACAGCAGCTCTGTCCACACTACAGGGGCCCCGAGTGGTTAAAGGAGCTGCCTAAGGTCACACGGTTCGGGAGCCGCACTGGGGACGGCTTCCCCACTGGCTGGCGGCGCACAGGGCAAGGACGCCCCCATCCACACACGGGGGCCCCTGGCCTCTGCCTGAGGCTCCCCGTTTCTCCCGTCCTTGAGGAGTGAGGTGTGGGGCTCATGCAGTCAACTCACTGGTCCGGGTCACCTCGCGCCGAGTGAGATAGTCCAGGAAGGGCCCGGCCAGGCCCTGGCCTAGAAAGAGCTTCACCAGCTTGGTGGCCAGGTCCTGGCGGCAGTCCCCGGAGGTCAGGTCCTCCAGCACAGCCAGGGGACTAGTAGCGTCCTCCTGGGCAAGGACAGGAAGCAGGAGAGGTGGCCCAGGGCCCCGAAAGCAAACGAGCGCAGGGAGGGCTCTCCGAGGCAGGGAGGCCGCGCACCCACCTCTGCCGGGCCCTGCACACACGCCACGAGCAGCTCCCTGAGCGGCTGGTAGTACTGGGAGGGCAGGACGCGGTCCTCGACAAGGCGCACCTTCAGCCGCAGGGCACCCAGGGTCCCCCTGCCGGGGTCAGATCACAGCAGAGGGCGCATCAGGTAGGTCCGCACAGGCGCGGGCGGCCGGGACACGCAGGGGTGAACGCAGATGTGGATACTGGCCAACGAGACACCAGTCCTCACGGGGATCAACAGGGACGGACAGGTGAAGTCGATGCAAACAGCGAGGCCCTGGGGCGCCTGGGTGGCTCGGTGGGTTGAGCACCCGGCCCTTGGGTTCGGCTCGGGTCACGATCTCTCGGTTCGTGAGTCTGAACCATCCCCCCCCCCCCCCCCCCCCCCCCCCCCCCCCCCCCCCCCCCCCCCCCCCCCCCCCCCCCCCCCCCCCCCCCCCCCCCCCCCCCCCCCCCNCCCCCCCCCCCCCCCCCCCCCCCCCCCCCCTTCAGGCTCTGCGCTGACAGCCTGCTTGGGACTCGCCCTCTCTCTCCGCCCCTCCCCTCCCAATAAATAAGTAAACTTTACAAAATGAAAAATCAATAAAAATAAAAGCAGTGTGGCCAGTGGAAAGTGCACAGAGCGGACGATGGGGACAGGCGTGGACAGGTGCGGAGGGACCCAGGGCTGTGAACACACCCCGCCTCGTGACAACGGGCCCGTTCCCATCCAAACAGGCGGACGGGTATGAGGTGAACCCACCCGGACGGAAGTAAACACACAGAGTGAGACAGACGCGGGTTAAATGAGTGACACGGTGGCAGCTTACGGGCTGACGGGGGCACCCACGAGGCCCTGCCCGCCAAGCACTCAACTCGAGTTCGGCCCGACCCCCTCCCTTCGCACCCACGTTTACCCAGAATCCTCCTCGGCCCTGGGGAAGGGCAGAAGCCGGAACCAGCCACTGGGTGGGCTCCGCTGCAGGACGGGCGGGGCGAACTCCACCTGCCGGGCGGACACAGAGCCTCGGCTCAGCCCGGCCCGGCCCCGCCCAGGCCCCGCCCACCCAGGCCCCGCCCACCCAGCCCGGCCCGCCCAGGCCCCGCCCACCCAGCCTGGAAGAGCCCGGACCACCCAAGGAGGGGAGGCGCAGCCTAGCAAGGGCCACCACCCCGCCCCCTACCATACCCGCCTTGCCTCCCCCAGGCCCAAATCATTAGCTCCTGCCAGGGCTCTGAGGGCTTCCCACTTAATTTCCAGTTGGGGAAACTGAGGTTTGGAAGAGACAGCGACTTGCCCCAGGTCACACAGCCGCTCCAGACAACATGTCTGGACTGAGAGCATTTTCCGCTCTGTTTGGGGACACAAATCACAAAGACAAAGCAGGAGGCCCCCGAGCCTCCCCCCCCTTTTTTAATAACTTTATAAAGATATACTTTGCATTCCATACAATTTTTCAGCCTATTCACAGAGTTGTACAACCATCACCACTGATTCCGGAACATTTTCTATCAGCTCCCCCCCCCCCCCCGGCAAAGCCTGTACCCATTAGCTGTCCCTCCCCACGTCCCACCTGCACCCCTAGATCCAGCAACCACTGATCTACTTTCTGTCCTCACACCTCCACCCACTCCAGACACCTCCTAGAATTGGAATCACATAACGTGGGTTTATTGGCCTGGCTTCCTGCTCTTAGCAGGTTTTCAAGATTCACCCGCGAGGTAGCAGGCGCCAGTGCGCCAGTCCTGCTTACGGCGGAGTCACGGTCCCTCACACAGACCCACTACGCTTTATGTATTCATTCACCTGTGCACGGACGTCTGGGTTTGTGTGGGCATATGTTTTCACTTCCCTTTGGCGCGTACCTAGGAGCGGAACTGCCACGGGGCACGTGGTAACCGTCTTTAACCGTTTGAGGAACGGCCGGACCGATTTCCAAAGCAGCTGCCCCGTTTACATTCCCCCTTCCAAGGCTGTGCGTACCCAGCCTCTCTACAACTGGCTCTAATCTTGTCTCCTTTTAAAAACAGTCAGCCCAGGGGCGCCTGGGTGGCTCAGTAGGTTAAGCATCCAACTTTGGCTCAGGCCATGATGTCACAGTTCATGGGTTCGAGTCCCATGTCAGGCTCTGTGCTGACAGCTCAGAGCCTGGAGCCTGCTTCGGATTCTGTGTCTCCCTCTCTCTCTGCCCCTCCCCTGCTTCCTTGCTCTCTCTCTCTCTCTCTCTCTCAAAAACAAATAAACATTTAAAAATTTTTAAACAAACAAAAAAACCTGTCAGCCCTGACTCTATAAGCACTGCCACTGAGAGGCAGGGACAATCGCGCCCATTTTACAGATGGGCAAACTGAGGTCCCAAGAGAAAAGACCTTGAGCCCGATGCTTCCGGAGGCTGAGATTCTGGTGTCAGAGAAACCTGAACTCAGACCCTGGCTCTGCCATTTATTAGTCATACGGCCTTGGGAAAACCACTCAACTTCTCTGCATGAACCACTGAAGGTACATAACGGGATTAAGCTGGAGACGCACTTAGCACACAGTCATCCTGGGTACTCTCACTCTCGAATGAGAATCCGGGCCTGTCCCGTGACCTTGGGCAGGTTCCTGGCCCCTTGGAGAACCTTAGTCTCCCCACCTGTACAATGGGGCCCTGGGACCCCATGGCTCAGGCTTGGCCAAGGGGCCAGCTGAGAGAGCCTTCACATCTAGCCTTCCAGACCCCAGGATGCACAGCCCAGCTCCCCTCCCCTTCCCTCCTGGAGGCGGTGGGAAGCCACGGTGTGGGGGGTGCTCACCATGCCCAGGAAGTCGTTCTTGCCCACCATGTCCCAGTCCCAGAGCTCCACCCGCAGTGGGGCTGGGGCCCCTGGCAGCTCCGGAAGCTCCAGCACCTCGTCCCAGTGTGGGAAGCGGGTCTTCTTAATGGTCTGGGGGGGGGGGGGGGGGGGAGGGGGGCTGAGGAGGGCCCGTCGTGATGCCCGCCCTCCCGGGGCCCACACCACCACTCACTGAGGTCTCCAAGCTCTGGCTGCCCCAGAACACGCGTGCGAATGGGTCAGACGTGCCGGTGACATCGCGGGGGGCGAGGTCCCTGGAGACAGATGCGGTGTGAGGGATGCGGGACCCTCAAGGACGAAGACCCAAGCTGGGCCTTGGCAAAGGGGCTCCGGGACGACCATGCAAACGCCTCTGGCTTCCAAGGTGGTGAACTGCTCGTTGTAGGGACCTGGCAAAGAACACCCCCACCCTGCCCGTCCGAACCCATATCTCCCTGTCGCCCGGTGCTACCCTCTGCCCCCATTTTCCAGATGAGGAAATGGAGGCACCGAAGGGTAGAGTCCTGAATCGCAAAGCCCAGGAGGCAAAGATGCCGTGGGAAGTGGGAAGGGAGCCTCAGTTTCCCTGAAGCCCCCAGATAGGAGACTGGATGCCAGGGCCTGGCTCCGCCATTCCCTGACTGGGTGACACTGGGAAATGTCACTTCACCTCCTTGAGCCTCAGTTTCTTCATCTAGAAAATGGAAATAATAACAGACCAACCTCAGAGGGTTAAGGCTTGGATGACATGAGTATAAAAAAGGCTTAGCAGCTGACAGGATGTGAGCACTCTGTCCATTCACTCGCGCATTCACTCATTCATTCACTCATCCATTCAACAAGGAGTCATACCCACGCCTTGCCTAGGACCCAAGAAAAGGCATGAGGCAAGGACCCCCTGTCTCTGGTTGCCATGACAACCCAGAGTCTCACCTCAGTGAGCTGCCCCAACCCCTCCTTTCTGAGGTCCCCCAAATCCAGTGACAGCCCCCCACCAGGGGCTGCTTGCTTCTTCCTGCTGCTCCTCTCCCACCCCTACTTGGCATCCGAAGCCTCCCTCGGTTTCCTAGGAGCCAGCCCCGTTGCTAAGCGACAGCAATCAGTCCCTCTCCTGTTTGCAAGGATGCTGCACGGCCTTGTGGCTGGGGAGGAGGCCGCTCGCACAAAGCAGATGAGGAGCCCCCGTCCCACGTTCAGTCCTTTAGCCTGTCCCCTGACCCCCTGGTACTCCATCCTGACTCCAGGGAGCCCCAGCTGCAGACGGAAACCTGGAGATGGTGGGAGAGGCACAGAGAGGGCAAGAAGAGCTTTAAGGTCACACAGCAAACTAGAAACAGAGGTCTTCCCCAACCTGAGTGTGGATCGGTCCAGAAGTGAGGGTTGTGGGACTAAGATGTGAAAACACGGCAGAAAGAGAAGATGGGAGATTAGGGGGGAAGGGATGGTCGTATTTAAGGAAGCAGAGTGATGGGGGGGCGCTGAGGGAGAGAGAAGGGGATTTCAGGGTGCTAACAGGCAGGAGGGAAGAGGGATAGCCCACGAGCTGGGCAGTCATCTGTGGGGTTTGCCGGTCCTGCATCCGTCTTTCTTCTCTTGTTTCTTTGGGACAAGACCTCCCCTCTCTCTCTCCCAGCTCTTGTAAGTTACATAGGCTGATCCCTCTTTCCACTCCGGGGATGGGTGTGGGACCCAGGCCTGACCAGCCAGTGTCCGTGTAATCGGTTTAGAGATAGGTCTGTGCCCCAGATTGGAGCGATAAAAATCAGTCCCAGGACACTGGCTGGAAGTGACAAGACAGAGTTCTACTTCAGTTGGAGCTGCCAAACTGGTAGGATGCCCTGGGTCATCTTTACCCGCCCTCAGCTGGAGAGAGGCTCCGTGAGAACGAAGCTAACACAAAAGAGAGCCAAGAAATCTGGGTCTGTAGATTCCCGGGGTCGCTGCTTGAGCACCTGGATCCAGACAAGCCTGAAGCTGCGCGTCATCAACCTAAGGCAATCTGCTTATGCTAGTACGAATGGAGCATCCATCACTTAGGATTCTGTTAATACGCACTCTGGCCGTCCTGAGTGTCTGGCCTTTGGTTGCTCGTCACTGGGGACCCAGCCAGGATTTTGCGTGTGCTCTGACCCCAGCAATTTGCAAACCTGGCGAACCTGGGACTGTTTGCCCCCAAGGGATCCTGGTCGTGAGCCCAGAAGTACCCCCCCACCCCGGAGTGAGGCGGTCTTCAAAGCCAAGACAGCTGGGGGAGATCTCCAGCAAAGTCTCGCTCATTCTCAGAGCAGTCCCACACCGTCCCCTGTCATGACCGTACCTGGCCTGAAGTACGTGACAGCGAAGGCAACGGCCCCGTGCACCCTCCAGAATCTGTACGTCCAAGCAGACCTCACCCTGCACCTCCGCGTCCGGGTCCACACGGCTCAGGTCTATCCAGCTGTCAATTCCTGGAGGGCACAGAAGCTCACGTGTATTAAGCACCTGCCAGGTCCTGGCACTGTGTCAACTTAAATATTCAATTAACACGAACTATATATTAAGCCATGGGCTCCTCATGCTCGCCTTCTGAGGTAGGTGCTGTACCCATCCGCACTTCCAGACGAGGAAAGTGAGGCAGAGCGAAGGAAGAGCTTTGCCCCTGACTCCGCAGCTGGCGAGGGGCAGAGCTAGGATTCGAATGCAGGCAGTAGAGTTCAATGCCATTAACCATGTGCCATCACACTCTTCACCCTGGTACACGAAAGCCTCCGCCGTTTAATCCCCACATACTCTCCCCTCCAAAAAATCCAGGGCATTCCTACCTCTCAGCCTCTGTCCAGACCATTCTCTCTGCCCGAATCAGTCAAGTCCATCCCTGTCTCTCATTTCTCTCAACGCCTTGAAGATATCATCTCCCAAAGTCTAGCTTCTACTGTAGTTATTGGGAAGTCATTTCAGCCTGATAACTGACCTTGTGTAAATGGGCTACCTTTTCTCTTTACTTTTAAGGACCACGTATTTGATGTTCTGCAATTTCACCACATATGTAGGGAAGGATGGTTGTGTGTGTGTGTGTGTGTGTGTGTGTGTGTGTGTGTGTGTTTGTGTTTTGTTTTTTGTCCCCCTTAGTGTAGGCTGTGCTATTTCTACTTATGGAATCATGTCCTTCCTTGCATTCTGGAAAATTCCAGGTCATCTTTTTTTTAATCACTTCCCTCTCCAACTTTCTCTATTCTTTCCTCATCGGACTTCAATTAAATGGATATTAGACCTGCTCCATAATGTTCCAGGTCTCTAAACTTCTCTTTTATATTTTCCTTCTTGTTTCTCTCGATAATTTCTTCAGGTCTCTCTTCCAGTCCACCAAGTCTCTCGTCAGCTCTGGATCTGCTATTGAACTCAGCCGCTCAGTTTTAAATTTCAATGACTCCTTTCTATATCTAAAACTTTGATCTAGTTCTTTTCCAATCTATTTTTTTAATGTTTATTTTATTTATTTTGAGACAGAGCACTAGCAGGAGAGGGGCAGAGAGGAGGAGAGAGAATGAGAAACCGAAGCAGGCTCTGCACCACCAGCACAGAGCCCAACGTGGGGCTCAATCTCACGAACAGCAAGATCATGACCTGAGCTGAAATCAAGAGCCAGACCCTCAACCGACTGAGCCATCCAGGTGCCTCATTTTTTTTAATGTATTGCTTTATTTTATTATGATTATTGCATCACTTCTCACCCTTTTGGCTAAGATCAAGTGTATTATGATTATTGCTGGCCCTTTCTGCTGATTGCCTTTTTTCATTTATTTAAATATTTTATTCTTTTTGTTGTTGTTTTGTTTTTACTTTATTTTAGAGCGTGCGTGAAGAAGAGCACAAGTTGGGGAGAAGGACAGAGGGAGAGAGAGAGAGAGAGAGAGAGAGAGAGAGAGAGACCCAAGCAGGCTCCACACTCAGCTCGGAGCCTGATGCAGGGCTCAATCCCACAACCCTGGGGACTGACCTGAGCAGAAATCAAGAATTGGACATTCAACCAACTGAGCCACCCAGGTGCATCTAGATATCGTATTTCTTTAAAAATTTTGCATATCATAATTATAAAATCTAAAGTCTTTGTGGGTTCAAATCTGGTAGTTACTCTTTCTCCTGAATCTCGCCCAGGGTGGCCCATGTCCTCGTGTGTGCGGCGATCTCTGATTCCACAGTCACGTCTGTCTGAACTCACTCTGTGGCAAAACCGACACGAAGCTGCTTATCTCTGGACATAAGATAACATGGTGATTGCTTATTCGGGGTCCCACATCTGCGAACCAGCCCAGAGACTGTCCAAAGATGTATCTAATCTTTCCCATCACTCCACCCTCTGAGAGTACGGTGCCAGTCTCTTCATTGTCTTGCTCAAGAACCGTCAATAGCTCCACAGGGTCCCCAGGTTTAGAAAGTCCAGACTCTGGAGGGGTCCCCCTCCAATCGGGACCCGCCAAGCACTCCATCTGGCCTGGCGTACGCTGACCTAGCAGAGAATCTATAGGGACCCGCCTTAGTGCCTTCGCCGAAGCACCTTCGAGAACCAACTCATTCCCCTTCTTCCAGGAAGCCTTCCTTGACTGCACTAGCCTCACTGCCTGCTTATCTTCAGCCACCGTTTTGCCAGTGCTATTCGACATGCCTCCACCCTACATTTCCGTCCTGTTCCAGAAAATAAAAAGCACCCACATGCAGACGGACAGACAGTTTCCCTTGTTTTTCTTACTCCTTGTTCTGTGTGAATGTATTTTGTGCCTCTATCTGGCCCATAAGCTCCTTGAAGCTTGGCCTCATACTTCGTTTACCTAATCCCACCCTCTTGGGTGGATGTTTGGGTGGATAGTGGGTACGGCTCCGCAGACAGGATGAAAACACGGACTTTGGAAGCAGGCACAGCCTGGGCTCAACTCCCACCGCTGCAACTTCTAGGAGGGGTAAGTGCCCTCACCTCTCCAAACCTCATTTCCCACGGCTATGTATTCGAGATTATTCTAGCGCACACTTCACGTGGCATTGGGAGGACTCGATATAACGTTCTTAGCATCATGCCTGGCGCATAGTGCACCCTCATTAAATAGGAGCCGTGAGGAGGATGATGATGATTAGCACGTAGGTGTTCAAGGAATCTCCACTGATGGAAAAATACATTGTTCAATTATTGATGTTGAGACAATTAACGGTCGCCTAGATAAAAAGAAATAAAGTTCAATCCCTCTCCATACCTTGAATCTGGATATAAGTTCCAAATAGATCAAAGACTTGAATTTAAAAAAGGAAAAACAAATTGTTGCTAGAAGGAATCATGTAAAAAATATGCTCTAACCTTAGATTTGGGAAGATTTTTTTAGGTGTCACAGAAAATCAAGAGCCAAAAAAAAAAGAAAAGAAAAGAAGTTAACTAGAGAAAAAGAAACAAATTTTATACATAGATAGAAATGATAAGCAAAAATATAAGCGACAAAGGGAGAAAAAAATGCAGCTAATATGACAGAGTTAAATTTGCCTAATATGTAAAGAGTTCCTACAAATCAGTAAGAAAAACCAAACAACCCAGTGGAGGGAAATGCACGTACGATATAAATAAATGATAAACAAAAAAAGGAAATAAAGTGACTCTTAAATATGTAAAGAGGCTTTCAATCCCATTCATAAAGAAACACAAAATAACCTACAGGAAGAGGCAATTTTTTTACCTAGCAGATACAAGGTCAAAAAGTTTGGTAATTGTTGGCAAACTGTTACCTTCTGCCTAGAGGGTCACTTAGCAATAACTCTCAAATGTGCTCATGGGGGTTCTCTATGACCAAGCAAATCCACTTCTAGGAATTTATCAGACTGATAGAACTTGCACATGTGTGAAATCATGTTTGTACAAGGCTGTTCACTGCTGCATCGTCTGAACGAGGGAGGGACATCAAACAACCCAAGTGCCAATCAACAAGGAACCGGCCAAATAAATGATGGTACATCCGCACAGCAGAGTGCCGTGAAGCCAAAGATCAAAGAATGTGGATGCTCTTCGGGCACCAATACGGAAAAGATCTCCAAGGAATGTGGCGAAGTGAAAGGCAAAGTACAGTACAGTGAATGTAACAGGGCGCCATTCCTGGGAGCAGAGAACCAAACACATACGGTGCAGGGTTAGGAGCACAAGATTGTTCGGACAATCTCGGTTCAAATCCTGGACACCCCACTTAATAACTCTGCGATCTTGGGCAAGCTCTAGAACCAGTCCCCTGTGCCTCAGTATGTTCACCTGTGGAGTGGGCATAATGAGTACCTACCTCACCGGGTTCTTACGGAAAGCAAATGAGCTGATTGCTGTAAAAGCACTTGGAAAGTGCTCAGCACACAGTAAGCTCCGCGTAAGCTTAGTAGTGAGCATCTGCTGCTACTATTATTGTTTCTTGCTTGTATATGTTTAAAATACCCCTAAGACAGGGGTGCCCGGGTGGCTCAGTCGGTTAAGCGTCCGACTCTGGCTCAGGTCTCAATCTGACGGTTTGTGAGTTCGAGCGCCGCGTCGGGCTCTGTGCTGACAGCTCGGAGCCTAGAGCCTGCTTCAGATTCTGTGTCTCCCTCTCTCTCTCTGTCCCTTCCCCATTCTCACTCTCTCTCCCTCTCAAAAATAAATAAACACTAGAAAAATAAAATAGACTCTCTCTAGGACATACAAGAAGCTGACAACCTTGAAGATGGAAATGGAATGGCTGTGGCAAGGGGGACAGTTTCACTGCTAATTATACCTCTATTTGCATACTGAACTATGTAAATGAGTTAACTACTCAGTAAATAAACTACATTAAGTTTTAAAAAAAATCAACAACCGAAATCATTTTCCACTGAAGGCCCTGTGCCTCTGGCCAGGCGCTTGCAAATGCCCGCCCCAGGCGTGCCCACCCCTGCGCCCTCCCGGCTGACGGCTGCGCCTTCGCCCACCTCGGGGGTCAGCAGCAATCGCCTCCCTGCTCAGCGAGATCTTGCCGATGATGTCATCGTGCCTGTGTAGACAAGGGGAAGATCCAAGTCCTTAAGCAGCGGGCCCAGGCAGCAAGGGCTGGCCAGGCGGCTACTGTGCTTCGGGGCAGCCCCCCTTCCCTCAGGTGGCCCAGCCCGGGTCCCCAGGACACACCCCACCGTGTCCTCATCCAGCACATAGAAGGCCAGGTGGTGGAAATCCAGGGGCAGGTGGATGGTGTACTCCTCCCCCCAGAAGGGGTTCAGGCTCCGCCAGACAGTTGCTGTCCTGCAAAAGACGGCACAGGGGACTGGGGGCCTTTGGGCCACTTCGATGGCAGACGCTTGGGGACCCAAACACACACACGCACACACACACGCGCGCGCACACACACACACACATCCGTGAACCCATGCATAGACACACACACAACTATACACACAGAGACCCCAGCTCTCACACACTCAGCCCCACAAGGACACACACTAAAAGAGAAGAAAGCCAGAGACACATTCCCACAGACACAGATACACGTATGCATCCTCAGAAATTTCTAGAAATACACATCCATGTGTTTCTACCTATAGACACATGCAGATGCACACAGAGACCCAGACCCAAAAAACTGCCCAGCACGCAGACACGCACAGAAACACGGACACACACTCACACACATACGGCGATAGATGGCAGACACACGCACGCAGAGCCACACAAACACACACGCACAATTCTGTCCCTGCGCTCGTGCATTCATTCCATAAACAACCTGGGCGTCAAGCCTTGTGGGCGGTGCAGGATCAGAGGACAAGGTGCCAAGGTCCCTGCCCCCCCCACCCCAGGGTCCCCTTCAGTGCACAGGTGCTCTCTCCTGGGCTCTTCTGACACAGCGAGAGAAGTCCTGTGATCGGGGTTAGCTCGGGGACACCTGGCTGGGTCTGGGGTGTGGAGAGAAGAAGGCAGAAAAGGCTTCCCGCAGGAGCCAGTCGGACAGAGGGGGAAGCGAAGATGAGGAAAGGTGGCTGGGACAGCATGTGCAAAAGTCCTGAGGCAGGAATGAGCGTGGCGAGACTGAGGGACAGGAAGGTTCTGGATGGGAAATGGGGAAGAGCGAGGGGCCGAGAGACCATGAAGTGAGCAGGGACCAGAGCACTCAGGAAGCAAGAGGGAACCACAGGAGGGTTACGGACCGAGACAAGCCCAGAAACAGACACACAGGGAGCATCCTAACCCTGCGGAAGCACCTCCCTTCACCCAACAGGGAACAAAGACCCTGCTTTGTCTAATGAACACACGCCCAAATCGACGGCTGCAAGATTTGGTCACGCACCTGCCTCTCCTTTCTTCCCTTTCCCCACACTCGTCCCCAGCAAAGAGCGTGAAGAGGCACGCACGCACGCACACACAGATGCACACTCCCCTCCGCTCTGGGCCCGGGCACCACCATCAGATGGACCCTTCTTCCCGCACACCCTCTTCCCCCTGGCCTGGCCTCTTCCCGGCTCGAAGTCCCTCTTCGGAGCCCAGAGACGGGGACACAGCGGCCTGGGGTCACAGAAAGTCTGTGTGTGGGTTTGGGGGCAGCATCACAGATGCGGTGAGGGGGCGGCATGAGCAGAGAGAGAACAATGGGGGTCCGCTGGGGCGCTGCGGGCTGAACGTCCTCCGTGCGGGCTCCCCGCCCCCAGCTCCCAGCCCATCTGGACCGGAACCTGAATCCTGCCGTCTCCATAGGAACCCAGGCCTCAGCCACCCACCCGGGCCTGCAGGGGCTGAGAGATGTCCCTCGGCCTGCGGGGGCGGGAGCCAACCAGGGCCCCCGTGTCCCGCCACCCCCACCCAAAACTCACCTGCACCCAACACCCTCACTGTGCTCACAAGGGTGTCTGTGGACCCAAACAAGCAGGCACTGGTGCTCACGTGTGTATGCAGGACAGCCCATGTGCACGTGCACACACACACACACACACACACACACCAGTGCCCGCAGCACCCAGCAGGCCGGGAACCAGCCAGCCCAGCCAAGCGTGAGATGCCCGCCTCCGGGGAGGCCACCCTGGGAGGCACAGCCGCTGCGGCTGAGTCAGCCCCAGGACACCGGCACGGACGCCATCAGGTCTGGGGGGAAGGTGGCGGCCGGTCGCTGGGGCAGGACGGGGAGAGGAGCTGTCCGTCCCCAGAGGGGCCAAAGCACAAAGCAGCCACCGTCACCGCACGTGTCCACCGTGGGGAGAGCACTGCCCTCCCCCAGCTCCTTTTCAACGCGACATCTCGGGCCTGGCCTCCCCCGTCCCCTACCCTGTTCCTCTCTCCCCGGGCCTGGCCTCTCCACTCCTCACCTGGCCACCACCTCGTCATCCACCTTCACGATGCAGTAGGGGTCACTGCTCCCAGACCTGCAGGAGAAGGGGGTCCGGAAAGGAGGCTGCCAGGGCAGCCAGGAGTTGGGGGTCCCAACCTGTCCTCATTGCACATACAGATGGCAGCATCTGCGGCCCAGAGAGGGGAGGGGGCAGGCCCAGGGGCACACAGCAGGTGCAGCTGAGAGGCAGGGGCCTGCGGGAGACGCCCTGGGCGCGCAGCCCACCCGCTGCATGCCTGGCTCAGCACGCATGGGCTCTCCGGGCTTCCACGTGCGGAAGTGGGACATTGAGGCATGAGGCTGGAAAGTTGCCAGCGCTGACCTCGGGAGGCCCGAAGCCGCGGCTGCGCTGGGGGGGGCGGGGCACCCTGGCTTTACCGCCTGCTAGCGTCCGAACCCCGCGGGCCCCTGCTCCCCGTGGGAGCCGCTTTTTCCACTCTCTGATGTTAACGCACGCCTCCTGGGGGGTTGGAGGGACTAGAGGAGTTAGTGCACGGTGACATGCATCACAGGCTGACCCCAGGCCTCCCCCCACCAGGAGCCATGAACCACCCTCTGTGGGAAGCGCTACCCTCTCCGGCTTTTCATTTCCACGACACCTCCCCTGGGGAGAGGACTCCCGACACTCAGCCTTCGGTGGGGATGGACCTCTGCTGGCACAGACCGGGGCACCCAGATCTCCAGACTCAACCAATAGCACAGATGGGCTGTATCCCTTGGAGTAGCCAGGAGCCATGAGTCAGCCAAAGCCAGCTCCATCCCCCCTTCATAATAAGAGTTACCAGCCACATCCCAAGCTGTCCACTAGGGCTCGCATCTCCCTCTGTCTCGTTGCACAGGCTTCCTTGGCCTCCCACCAAGCTCAGTCCGACCTCAGGGCCTTTGCACTTGCTCTTGCACCTGCTTAAGACACTCTGTCCCTGATCTGGTCATGGCTGGCTCCGTCCTGTCATTCAAACCTCAGCCTGAAAGTCCCTGGTCATCTCTGTCCTTTGTAAAATTGACCTCTGATCCCTCTGAGCACCTGAAGGCGTCTTGCTCCTTTGTTTCTCTATTTAGTATCTGTCTCCCCCAAACTTCTGAACTGTGAGCCCCTTGGAGGAGGACCTGTATCCTTCTTCCCACGAGCCTCCACCTGAGTCAGCATTCAAACCCGGGTCAATGGGGCTCAGGCCACATGCTCTTAACCAGTGTCACCTCCACCGCACCTCACAATCCTTTCCCCAGGTGACCTCCTCTCTTGAGGCCCCAGCCCCCAACCTCTCTCCCCACCATGTCACGAATCCACAGGGTTTCAGGGAAGGGGATGTGGGTCCCAGGAACCAACTGGAGCCTTCTCTGCTGGAGGAGTCCTCCCCTGTGCCTCAGTTTCCTCTCGGGACTCCTTCCCTTAACTCCCTCTGTGTCCGGGGCTCCAGTGCCCCCATTTCCCTATCTGGCCTCCGTCCCTGAACACCTCAGACCGGGTGGTGGCCTGTGTCCCTGCCCTTTTTTCCAGGTCCTACTTCTGAACCCCCTTCCAAGGAGTGCCCCAAGCCCGTTTCCCCTTCTGAATCTATCTCAAAGCCACTGGGTTTGAGTAACTCTGAGAGCCCCCATTCCCCAACCTGCTTCCTACCCGCCTTGGATGCCTGTGGCGGGGTAACCCCTATATCTTGCTTCTCTCTCTGGGTTCTCTACCCTCCAGCTTCTTTGAGGTGGGGCCCCATTCCTCAGTTTCCCCAACCGCAGACTTGGAGGAAGACTAGCTGGGATCCCAGGAGCAAAGAGCTGGGAGACACACCCCTTCCGTCAACCAGGCCTGACCCCGAGGCCCCTCTTGGGAGCCAGACTCGCACGTCTACTCCACAGTTCTGACGCACAAGGGCCTTATCAGCTCCCATCAGGTAGGAGGCCGCAGTGGCAGGAGGGTGCCCCCCCCAGACCCTCAGTCTCTCCAGACCTTTGGCCTCTCCCATGGCCCCTGCCCCCACCCAAGTGTGGGAAAGGAGTCCTCTCAGCCATTGCCAGCCCAGTTTGGTTTATACATGGGAGCAGTCAGGGCTTAAATCCTAGCTGTGTGACCTTGGGCAAGCGGCTTTGCCTCTCTGGGCCTCAGTTTCCCCACTTATAAATGGAATTGCTAACCGGACCCACAGAAAGTGTTAAGCACAGGACCTAGCTCAGAGTAAGCCTTCGATGACTTACAATCGCTATCATTAATAATAGTAAGACTCAAGGGCGCCTGGGCGGCTCAGTCGGTCGGGCAGTTGAGCGTCCGACTTCAGCTCAGGTCAGGATCTCACGGTTCGTGGAGTCGAGCCCCGTGTCGGGCTCTGTGCTGACAGCTCAGAGCCTGGAGCCTGCTTCGGAGTCTGGGTCTCCCTCTCTCTCTCTGCCCTCCCTGGCTTGTGCTAGTGCTCTCTCTCAAAAATAAGTAAACTTAAAGAAAATAGTAATACTCGAGAATTATCAGTTGAGGCCTTCTCCAAAGGCGGGCTGGACACTGCCCTCAAACCTGACGAGGCTCCAGGAAGAGTCTGGGCCTTTTCTCTTAGAGGAGAGAGAACACACCTCATCCAAGAGTCTCCATGGTCACGGAGATCCCAGCATGCTCTGAAGAAGGGAGCCAACAGCCAGGGAAACCGAGGCAGGGTGGCTGGGTCCCCAGTGAGGGCTTAGCGACTCCTTCCCCCCCTTGCTCTGAGGCTCACCTTGGCCCGGGAGCTTGGGGGAGGAGGCGTGGCCAGAAGAAGGGGGCGTGGCCGAGAGATGCAGGATCCAGGTATGAGTCAACTTCCTCGGCACGAGAGGCGAAAGGAGTCCAGTCCGGGGCCAGGCAGTGCCCCCCCAGCAACACCCCCCGCCGGCCACTCCCTCATGGCCCTCGCTGATGGACGTCTGGTTTCTGGAGCCCCCCCCCTCGGCTCCCCAGCAGTTTCCAGGCCCCCCACCCTAGCCCCGCTGCCCCGCAGCTCCAGAATCTCATTCTCAGAGGCTCTGAGAGGGTGTTCCAGAAAGAGGGAGGCAGGGGCTTGTCCAGATGCCGCGTGCACACAGCGAGCGCTCCGCTTCTGCGTCAGGTGCCTGTTTATTTGGGGTCGCTGACGAGGATGAGGGGGAGTCAAAACTGCTCTGAGCCGCCCAGTGTAGGGGAGGGGCGAGCGTCATGAAGCCAAAGGCAGGATACTCGTCCCTGGGGACCCACGGCGGGGCAGTCAGGGCAGAGCTAAGCCCCGACCGGCTTGGACGCCGGCTCAGAATCCAGATCTCTGCTCACCTGGGCCACGGTGGGGGCATCCTAACAGGTTCTCCACCCCACAGCTGCGTGGGGCTGGGCGGCTCCTGTCCAGAGCTCCCCTGGCCCAGGTGGGAAATGGAGACCCCAAGAGGACCAGGTTCAAGGTCACGCAGCTGATGTCCTGCCAAGGATCCCACACCTGTCCCAGGTGCTGACACCTCAGGGCCCCTTCCGGGCTCCAGGCCAAGCAGGAGGGGGACCCCTCCCGCCATTCTGCTGATTCGGCAACTGCTGACTCAGCGCTGCCCAGAGGAAGCATAGCCAAGGCTTGGTAGTAAGGGGAGCCCAAGGGTCCTCCGGCCCCATCACACCTGGCTGGGGAGGGGGCTTCCGGGAGGGGGCTGGCTCTCCAAGCAGCTCGGCGTCCCGGAACTCCCGGCTGGGGAGCTCGGGGCTCTGGGTTACTAGGACCCCAGGGTCCCCCAGGCCTGATTGGTGGGGCACCTGATGTCTCTCTGCAAACCTAAACACCAGATGCACACAGAAGACTGCTGAGGCCACCCAGCCCTCTGGGCCTCCTTCCCAGGTTTCTTTTGATAGGCGCCCACCCAGGCCTGGAGAAGCCCCACCTCCAGCACCTGCCTGGACTAAGGACGAGCCCCCCCCCCCCCGCCCCGATCCCCTCCCCAGCTCCAACAGAATCCGACCCTCCAGTCCCGTTTCAGCAAATCCCAGGAACAAAGGCATCCACCTTCCCGGGGGCCAGGTGGGGCATCTGCTAAGTCTGGGCGCCCCCTCCCACTGGGAGAGCGAAGGCGGGTCGGCCCCCAGTACTATGTCTTAGACAAGAAGCCCCTGCCCACTTCGCCGACGCTCCCTGGCATGCGGAATGGGTGACTCCCACCCCATCCCATGTCCGCTGCGCCCCTCAGCCTCAGGGTACTCACACATCCTTGGCAGGCAGCGCCCGGCCCTCCACCACGCGGACATTCAGGGAGCTGCTCTTGGCCATGGCGCCCGGCCCTAAACTTTACGGGCAGAAGGCGCCGAAGCTGGACCGCGGGGCGGGCGTCTACATGTCACCAGCTGCGAGCCTGGCGCCCTGTCTCGGGGTCCCAGCGCCGCCTGTCCGAGACGCGGGTAGCTAGACGGGAGGTTTCCGAAGGAGAAAGAATAGGTGTCCGGGGAGGGGGCGCCCCTCGGGCTCTACAGGTAGGAGCTGTGTGCGGAGGAGACAGAGCGCGCAGGGGGGCACCGGCGGCTCCTGCCTCGCAGTCTGAAGCTCCGGGTGGGCGGGCAGGGGGCGGAGGGGCAGCCCAGGGCCCTCCCCCCAATCCCGCCTCCCGCGTGTCTCCCGCCCGTCCCCGGGCCCCCTCGCGCGCCCTCTGGCGGAACCCCAGCCGAGCGCGCCTGAGCGCACGGGCGGCGGAGACCAGGGCGCGCTGAGGCTGGGACTGCCCGGTGGCGGGCGGCCCCGGCCACGGCGGGCGTGGCCGCTGGCTCGTGGTGACTTGGCCTTGGGCTCGGAAGACACGGTAGGTCCCCTGCCTGCCCTCCCTCCAACACATTCGGCCCTTCCTTGCCTGCCATCCCGGCGCCACCTCCTGGATCGCACCTCCGTGTCCTTTCCGGGAGCAGTACCCGCAGTCGGCGGGAGGCGTCGCTAGAGAGGAAGTCGCACATTCCCAGGGGGCGGGGTGGGGGTCCGTTCCGAGTCAAGGGAGGGGCCTCGAACATCCCCTTCCCTGTCGTTTAGTTTCCAATTAAGCCCAGGCTGTGCGAGCGGCAGCTCCCACGTCACGGGCTGGCACTGCGGGGGAGGCAGCGGCGGCCGGAGGGGGAGGGGAGGCCTGAAGATAACAACCGCGACGGCGGTGACAAGTCGTCCACGATTGTTTGAACACTTTCCTGGGCGCCAGGCACTGTTCCCAGCGGCTTACGGGGATTCGATCACCCGCGTCCTCAGGATGAGCCCACGCGCTGCGCAAGGTTGCGCTGTTGCCCCCGTTTTGTGGATGAAGAAACCGGTTCCGGGGGATGAAACAGCTCTTGGAAGGTCTCAGTCAGTAATTGGTCTGCCTTCCTGGGTTTGACCCCTGACTCAGCCACTTGGTAGCTGCGGCCTTGGGCAAGTCACTTAGCCTCTTTTGTGCCTTGGTTTCCTCATCCGCTCCGTAGGAATAACATAGCACTTTGCCCGCAGGGTCTTGAGAGAATAGATGAGCTAAAGCACAGGCGAGGGCAGAAGATGCAGGTCTCAAAACAGTAACGGGCACAGAGAGTGTTTGCTGCGATTATTCTGGTCCTCCGAGGCATAACTCCGGCGTCTCCTAAGCCCTAAGAAGACTTCCGAGTTGCCCTGCCACCCCAGGCGGAGGCTTTCTCCTCATTTTCTCTGCTTCTCAGCTCCAGGTTGGTCCATTTCTCAAGTTTTAACGCCTGGAGTTTGCAAAACACATTTGAAACGACGGGACAGGAAGAGCCTGTCCCGGGGCCCAGCCTCACACACACTATTTCCCGCCCCCGCCGCCTGCGTGAGTTTGTTGTTTACCCGCCTAAGTGTTCTTGGAAGAGCTGGCACCAAGCCTGAGTCACTTCGGTCAGCCCAGGGCTGGGCACCAACGGGAGGTCCCCCCACTGAATGACTGGGGCGGCCAACGCCCAGAGTGGCGGGGCCAGGGGAGCCCTGTCCGGCCACCCGAGGACCAGAGGAGCCAGTCATCAGCCTCCCAAGCTCCCTCCTTGACTTCCCACGCAGCACTCCAGCCAAGCTGGTGAGGGATTCAGATCCCTGTAGTCTCTCCCCATCTGCTGAGTCCTCCAACTTCCAGAGACTGGTCCTCAGTTACCCCATCTGGGATAAGGGTCTAGCTGGGCTTAGAAGTATTGCAGCTTCCTTCAGCGGGGTAACGAGAGGTGATCCAGGGTTGAATCCAGGACAGCAGTAGCCTCGGGGGAGTGTTAAGCACCCCCCTCCCCACTTTTGAGCCTTCCCAGTCACCACTCCCCCCACTCCCCCCACCCCCGTCCTCACCAGGGGAAATCAGTGCCTGCTTTGTGACAGCTACTTCAGGACAGGCTCTTTCCCGCCCCTGCCTAGGTGGGAGCTTTTGGCTAACGCTTTTTCTTCTGAGACCCTGCAGAGATCTCAAACAGGCTCTCCAGCCCCTGGCGACCCCTGATGGAACCTGAGGGACCTAGTCCTGGGGCCACTTGGGATGCCAGCCAAACCGCCACCTGCCACCTCAGCCAGTCTTCCGGAGCTGAGCAGGAAGTCACATTCCCAGACACCCCTCCCCAGGCCCCAGGGGTGGGTACGAAGGCTACGGACTGTGCCAGCCAGGCCTCCAGGGAGCTAACTGTGGCCACCGACCTCAAACTTTCCGAATGGCTTGGCTACTTCCTGTTGTTTTGAGAAGCTTTGAGTTGAAACTGGCAGAGGGTCTGAGGTCTCCCAGGCCAGCTCCTATCAAGGGACCAACGGGTGAAGGTGGCCATGAGAAGGGGTGTGTGACCTACTGGTGGCTACCCAGTGGCGGGGGCGGGGGGCGGTCAGCTCATGCCTGGGCTGTCAGGTGGGAGGGGGCCTCACCTCTCAAGAGGTGGTGGGGGGCACCTGGCATCCCTCCTGGCTTGAGAAATGGGTAGCCTCCTCCCTTCCCCTTCCTGCAAGCCCACGATCATCTCCTTTCTCCCTCTCTACATAGTGTAGCACCCACGGGATGCACGCAGCAAGTGCTTCTTAAAACCATGAGCGGTAAGAGGTGCTGAGCTCAGGAGTTAAGAGCAGGGCTGTTAGCATCCAGCCAAGCCACCCGGGGACAGTGTCCTGGCAACTACGCTTATGAGCTCGGTGTTCTTGGTGAGTTATGCTTTTGGTGCCTCGGTTGCTTCATCTGTACAGTGGGGATAATAATAGCACCCACCTCATAGCCCGGGTGTCAGGACGGGGTTAAAAAAAAAAAAACTTCAGGTGTTTAGCTCAGCCTGGCCTACAGCAAGGGCTCAGTGAGTGCCGCGGCCCTAACAGAACATCCTGACCCCAGCGCTGTGCCTGACACGGAGCCCCACGAGGTGGCTGAGCTCTGAGGCTGGACCCTGAGGACACTGAGGCTGGACCCTGAGGACGCGGCCAGGGTGGAACAGCACGCCCCACCCCAAATTCCGGGGAGGGATGGAGCGGCCACACTTCAGTGCGGCTCCAGGTTGCTGAGCAGCGGGAATCTGGAGGTTTGCATCTCAGCTGAGAAATCTGATAAGACGGGTCCCAAGGTCAGGCTCCTGGACCCCGATGGCCTACTGCCCAGGACTGGCGAATCCGCTCCCCCCCCCCCCCACTTCGTCTGAGAGGTTGAGCCTGGGGCCCGGGGAGAGCTCACACAGAGCAGAGCGAGTTTCTCACATCAGAGCAGGGCCCGGGCCTGGCACCTGTGTCTGCTCCTGAGGGCTGACCGTGCCCTTGACCCTCCCGCTCCTGGTTCAGCAGTGCCACGTGGGGAACTTGAGATCGTCCACGGTGGGAGGACTTACACCATGCAGATCGGCAAACGCTACGATGGGGGGAGGGGTCGGTTGAACCACACGCCCCTGGGCGCCAGGTTCCGGGGCCCCACAGCCTAGACACCACTCCCGGACTCGACACGCTGAAGATTTCACTCGTATCCCCTCACCCCACCCCCACGCCACCCCTGCCCTCTCCGTTCCTTCCATCAGGAAAGTCCCGCCACTCCCTTTTCCACCTGTTCCCCTGCTTCCGTCCTATTGATACAGCTGAACAAAGATGAGGAGGGGTGGGGTGAGCAAAGTATAGACCATGTCATGTCAAAGTCGTGGAATCCTACAAAGCTGTTAAAAAGGGTGTGCTCAAGAACAGCAAGAAGGCTGAAAAAGAAAACATTAAGTCATGGGGAAAACACAGTAAACACAACCATCCAAACAGCGTGATCCTGATGCCACAAAATATTACATGTATACATGTATATACATATATATACAATATATACATATATTTATATATAATATTCTTTCCCCCCCACGGATCCGTACGGCGTGCCTGCCGTGCCCTGGGCAGTGGGGATACGGGGAGGTTCAAGACAGCCCCGCCCTGCTCTCCTGGGGCTCTCCGTGGAGTGGGCAACCGACAAAAGTAGCAAGCAGCTAGGGCATACGCTCCTGGGAGGAAGTAGGAAGTGGTGCCCGCCGAGAAAGCAGCATCAGAGTGGGGCAGAAGCTCACGGCACGGGCTTCTTTTATAATCAGAAAACGAATGCGTGCTCCCGCCGGCTTCTGGAGGCACCGCTGCCCTTTGTGGCTGGCACACGGCCTCCGGGAAGTCGTGGAAGGTGGCTGGGAAGGCAGCCACGACCACCCCCCTCCCCCCCCAACCTCTCCCCCCGCCGCCTGTTGGCACCATTCTGTGACCTCGGTCTCTTGTTCTCTTGTTTTGTGGTATTTCACGGGCTCGTCTTATCTCTTAAATGTCAGGGACAATGTCTGATTCATGCCGCGCCTCCCACACCGCTTTGGCACATTAAGAAAGACTCAAAACGCACTCTCTGGGTTCAAGAGCATTCTGCTCCCCTCCCGGGCTGGAATCTGGCCTCTCTCTCGTCGTGATATCAGTCATATTATTTTTTACTTCCTTTCTCCCCTCGGTGCCCGGGATGGCGGCTTAATCACTGCCAACGTACCACCTCTCTGCTACACCTCCGGCCCCAAACCAGGGACGGACCCCTCCTCTGGCTCCACAGCCCTGTCTCCAGACCTCAGTTTCCCCTCCTGGGAGGAGGTACCACCCCTTCGTGCGGCCAAGGACTGGGGGCAGGGCGAACCAGCCCCGGGCCAGGTTGGGGGTGAGGAGTGTGTGCTTTGTCTCAAGAACACAAAGCCCCGTTTGTGATCGCCGGGCACGATTCTGGGCAGAGCGCCACGTGGGACAGGAGGCAGCGGTGGGAGGAGCGGGCAGGGTTTTGTGGGCTGGCTGCCGGGGAAGCGGGAGTCCCCTCCTACCCCAGCCTGGCACACGGCGTCCGGCCGCCCGTCTGTGGCTCTTCCTCCTTCCTCCGCCCTCCTCCCCAAGGTGGCCCCCCTCACCCCTGCCTTGGAATGGAGAAGTAGGAAGGGAGGAGAAGCCACCCAAGCATGAGATTTGGGGGCGGGGAGAGAGGGTATTTCCACAGCGACAGGCTGTGGCCCAGGGCTAGGCCAGCGGAGGGTTGTGTCCTCCTGTCACTCAGCACGGCCTCACCCAGCCTGTCCCCCGGGGGGCCGTGGGGACAGAGATGTGGGGGGAGGGGAGGTTGGGACCTCAGACTCCTCTTCCAAGAGGACCTGAAAGAAATGCCGCATTTAAAACAGAAATGTAAAGGCCTGGGGCCTGGATGGGTTTAGCCTCAGCCTTCTGCTGAGGGCAGGCTGTTTGTGCAGGGACCTCTCATCTCCTCGGAGCCATGAGCAGCTCCAAGGCAGGGGTGGGTTCTTCTTATGAAAACAAAACCACCACGGCCCATCACTTCTCAGCCTTGTGTCCTCAAAGGATCACTTAAGCCCCCTGGGCCTCGGTTCCCTCATCTGTTACTGGTCAGAGGTCTGGCCCCTCCTTGGCCCTGTCCAGTCCCGACCTATCTCATCACCCTTGAATCCTGCACACCAACAGACAGACCTTTGTTCCCTTCTAGGAGGGGCCCACATCCTGCTGCCTCAGGGCCTTTGCACATGCCGTTCATCTACTTGGAATACTTTTCCTTTCTTCTTCTCACCCTTTCTTATCCTTCAGTCTGGGTTCACGTGATACCTCCTCAAAGAGGCTTCCCTCCCTGCTCCTTACAGCCTAGACTTCTCTCCCTAACCCTACCCGACATGATGACATATCTGCAGAGGCACTGATTCCGTCTGGCCTCCCCATCAGCCTGTATGTCCCACGAGGGCAGAATCTGCCTTATCCACTGCTGTATCCTCACACAGTGCCTGGTACAGAGCAGGTGCGCAATAAACAGTTGCCTTCCCCGCCCCAAAACACCACCTGTAAAAGAGTAGAAATTAAGAAGGGAAGGATGCCTAGCAGCCTCACCATGAGGACATCCTCTGAACAGGAAAGGAAGGGAATGAGCCTGAGGAAGGAAAGATCCAAGAAGGGGGCTCAACTCTATCTGGAGTACCGTGGTTAAGAGGGTGGGCTCCACGTCCAGATGGTCGAGTTCAAGTCCCACCTTGGGCTTGACACATCGCATTTTAAAGGAAGATGCAGCAAGTCAGATCATCAACATTTAAAACTTTTCTTTGCAGAAGACCAAGTGAAGACACTGAAAGACAAGGTATCGCCTGGGAGAAAATACCCAACAGAACTCTCTGGAACATCTACACGTGCATCTAGAATGTATAAAGAAGGTCCCCCAAATGCAACGGCTAAAAACAATTCATTAGAACGCAGGCAACAGCTGTGCAACAGATATTTTGCCGAAGAGGGTACCCGGGTGGCAAATAAGTGTGCAAGATCGTTCATCATAATTACAGCCAGGAGAGAAATGCAAAGGAGAGAAATGCAAAGACCGCAAGGAGACATGACCGCACCTATCAGAATGGCTAAAGCAAAAACGGTAAGGATAGCGAGGGTGCAGGGGGAAAAAATCCCAAACTGGACCACTCGTGCGTTGTTGGTGGGAATGTGGCCCGGCCACTCTGGAAAAGACTACGGCGGTTTCTTTAACAGTCGTGCTCACGGGCATCTATCCCGGAGGAATGAGAGCTTACACATTCACACAAAAACCAGGACATGGATCCCCATGGTGGCTTTATTCGGGAGAGCCCCAAACTGCAAATAACCCAAATGTCCTTCCACCTGAATGGCTATATAACTGTAGCACATCCACCCCATGGCATGGGACTCGGCGATCAAAAAGAATAAACACTGATGCATGTAGCAAGTAGGATGGGTCTCAAGAGAAGGATGCGGAGTGAAAAGGCCAGCCTCAAAGGTTACATACTGTACAATTCCACTTAAATAACATCCTTGCGGTGACAAAACTCTACAGATGGAGACGAGATAAGTAGTCTCCAGGGGTTAGGGAGCGAGAAGGGGGGGAGGTGGCCATGGCTCTCAAAGGGTAGCATGAAGGATCCCGGCGAGGAACCTTCTGTAGCTTGGCGGTGGCCGTCACAGGAGTCCACGTGTGGTAACTTTGCGTGGAACTAAATACACACGCGCAAAGGAGTGCATGTGAAACTGTGAGATCCAAAGATGGCTGGTGGATTGTATCGATGCCAATTTCTTGGTTGTGATGCACCGTCAGGTGCAAGAGGGAACCGTTGGGGGAAGCTGGGAGGAGGGATATGGGATCTCTCGGTGTTCCTTCTTCACTTGCATGCAAAGCTGCACGGCTGTCTCAATAAAAAAGCCCCCCGGGGGTTATGCATCTACTGGGATGACCTGAAGAGCGCCCAGCAATACCAGCTGCTGGCGAGGATACGGAGCAATCAGACCTCTCGTGCGTTGCTGGTGTCAATATACAAACGGTACGTCCGTGGGCCCCTGGATGGCTCACTCCGTTAAACGTCCGACTCTTGGTTTTAGCTCAGGCCACGAATTCACCCTTTGTGAGTTCGAGCCCCGTGTCGGGGTCTGCACTGCCAGCGAGGAACTTGCTTGGGACTCGCTCTCGCTCTCGCTCTCTCTCTCTCGCTCTCAAAATAAATAAACTTAAAAAAAAAAAAGCAGCCTATTTTTTTGAAAATGGTACCGCCACTTGGAAAAAACAGTTTGCAGTTTTCCATACAGTTAGACATACACTCACCCTATGACTCAGCAATTCTGCCCCTACGTGTTTATACAGAGCGGAATGAAAGCTTGTGTTCACACAGGAATCTGTCCGCGAACACAGGCTCTATTTGTAGTTGCCCAGAACCAGAAATGACCCAGCAGGAGGCTGAATAAACACACCACGGTATACAATCAAATACTACTCAGCAGTGAAAAAGAATGAACTAGGAATATACACATCAACGTGAATGAATCTCAAATGAACACTTCCGCGTTAAGGAAGCCAGACTCAAAAGGCTACAGAGTATAGGATTCCGTTCCTGACATTCTGGAAAAGGCAAAACTATCAGGACAGAGAACAGGTCAGGGGTTGCCAGGGGCTGGGGTGGCGACAAGGGTTAATTATGAAGAAGCCGGGGGGGGGGGGGGCTTAGTGGGGGGGGAGGTGATGGAAACATGTAGTGGTGATGACACGTGATTTTATGCATTTGCCAGAACCCATAGAACCGTCCGTGAAAAGAAGATGAATTTTACCTTATGGAAATGGAACCTCAATATTTTTAAACCAAGAAAAAATTAGGTCACAGCAATGTATGCAGAAAAATATATGTGCGATTTAATGCAAAGTGATCCGAGAAAAAGTGTACATTATTTTAGCTCCTTTCTAAAAATATGCTCTCAGGGTGCCTGGGTGGCTCAGTCGGTTATGCGTCCGACTTCGGCTCGGGAGATGATCTCGCGGTTTGTGAGTTCGAACCCCACGTGGGGCTCGGTGCTGACAGCTCAGAGCCTGGAGCCTGTTTCCGATTCTGGGTCTCCCTCTCCCTCTGCCCCTCCCCTACTCACACTCTGTGTCTCTCTCTATCTCAAAGATAGATCAACTTTTACAAATAAATAAATAAATAAAAATATGCTCTAGCAAAATGCTTAGGAGTTGCTTTAAGCAACGTAGGCATTATAAGTACAGTTTTTCCTAATAGTTATTCTACAATAAGAAGATACATTTCTTTACATGAAAAAAATGATTTAAAAATAAAACGAGTGAAAGCAAAGACGATGAGATGCGAGCGTGTGTTATTTCTGGCGGGAGCACCCACGGGTATTTGCAATATTACTTGGGGTGCTTTTCCCTGATGCTGCCCCTGGAGTGTTGTTTTAATGATTAAATTAGATACTGTATAGAGAGCGCTTAGACCAGAGCCTGAACAACAGCAATCGCTCAAGGTATGTCAGCTCCTCCCATCCTTCTGAGCTGGTCTCCCCTGGGTGGGGCTGATGTCCTAACCACACTGGGGGCTCCAGGACACTGGGCCAAGGTAGCTCCGTCCCCAGCAAAGGGAGTTGACCTTTAAAGGGACGGCACACAGTAGGCCCTCAGTACCTTGCCAGGCAGTGGATGACCCTGCCCAGGACCTGGCAAACAGTGGGTGCCCAGTAATTACTCAGACAACTAACCACTGCAGCGTGACAGAGGCCCGTCCCATCCCACCCAGCCAGGAGGAGGTTTGACTGGACGTGCGACACCAAATGGGTACATTTTGGACTGAAGGACCCACCTCCTTTTCACTACGCCCCACTTATTTGAGGCTTAAAGCCAGTCTCTGGAGTAGGCAGAGGCTGCTCACCTCCCAGGATGGATTCCTGCGGCCTCGGGCTGGCGATGGAATGTTGTGCGGTCGGTTGCCCTGGCAACAAAGGCCTGCTAGGTGGCCGGCCTTCTCGGAGCCAAGGGCCTGCTGCCACTCGGCCCTCCATCAGAACCCCCAGGGGCCCCTGGGCTAGTGCAAGCCTCGGTCCATGGAAAGAAAGCCCGGAGTAATGGCCGGGACAATGGCGGTGCCCTGGGAGGAGCATTTCCGACCGGCCCTGCAAGAGAAACTGCGTGCGTGAGTGCCTTGGACTGGCTGCGGGGGGGGGGGGGGGGGGGGGGGGGGGGGGGGGGGGGGGGGGGGGGGGGGGGGGGGGGGGGATGGAAGGAGGGCAGAGGCAGGCGGGTGACCCATGCCTTCCTCTTGCCTCTGGCACCTGGCTTCCTTGGAAAGTTCCTGCTGGGGTCTCACTGTCCCCACTTCACAGAGGAAGAAACTGAGGCTCAGAGGAAACCAGTAGGGCAGAGCTGGGTTAGCAGCCCAGGTCTCTCCTCTGCTCCTGATCCCCACCCCCTGGGCACCATCCAGCTGTGATTAAATCGTTTGAATGGAAATGGGAAAGAGGTAGGGGCGCCTGGGTGGCTTAGTCGGTTAGGCGTCCGACACTCGCTTCGGTCATGATCTCGCGGTTCGTGGGTTCGAGCCCCGCGTCGGGCTCTGTGCTGACTGCCAGCTCAGAGCCTGGAGCCTGTTTCAGAATATGAAACACACTCTCTCTCTGAACCTCCCCTGCTCACGCTGTCTCTCTCTCTCTCCTAGAAATAAATTAAAAAAAAAAAAAAGAAATGGGAAGGAGGCTGTGAGCAAGAGCTCCCCTCTCCCTGCAAGCTCTACACTTTAAAGGAAGAGTTGGAGGAAGCGGGTCGGGTGCCTGCTTTGTGCTCAGCAGTGACCGAGGGGCCTGAGCTCAGTGTCAGTCTGGACCGGTGTTCTGGCACATTCTGTTCCAGCATCCCTTCTGCTCTCTACGCAGCCCCCCCCCCCCCCCCCCCCGGCCCCGTGCAGGGCTAAGTGCAGCACCGCACCCCACCCCCAGAGCCTTGGATCCCAGCCTCCCCCTGGAGCCTTCCCAGGGGGCGTCTAACCGCCTTCCAAACACCGCAGCCAGGAGCTGATCTCCCCTGCGCCCCACCCAGCCCTCCACCAGCACCCCCCTTCCGGCGTGGAGTTCACCTTCCCTCCTTTCTCACCCCCCATCGCTGCATCAGCTCTGCTCTCACACTGTAGCCGGAACCTACCCCCCTCCCCTCTCCCCTCCAATCGCCTGACCAGAACCACACTCTGTCTGTGTTCACCCGGAACCCCGTCACCGGTCTCCCAGCGGCTGCCCTGCCTCTCTCCCGGCCCCTGCCCCCCAGCAACAGCCTCAAGCTCCTCTACAAACCAAGATACTTCTCTGGGGACCTTGGCCTTGGCTGTCCCGGCAGGTGTGCACGGGCTCACTCCCCCTTGCCCTTCAGGTCTCTGCCCAGATGACCTCAGAGTCTCCTCCAAGAGACTTTTTCACCTCCTTATTGAAAGATTTCCTTTTGGGGCGCTTAGGTGGCTCAGTCGGTTAAGGCTCCTACTCTGGATTTCGCCCCAGGTTCGTAATATCGAGCCCCGTGTCAGGCTCTGTGCTGATAGCTCTGAGCCTACTTCTGTTCTCCCTCTCTCTCTCTCCCCTTCCCTGACTTGTATGCATGCTCTGTCTCTCAAAATAAGTAAATAAACTTAAAAAAAAAAAAGATTCTTTCTCTCTCCCTCTGCCCCTCCACTGCTTGTGTGCTTACTTTCTCTCTTTCAAAAAAAAGGGGGTGGGTGCGCCTGGGTGGCTCAGTTGGGTAAGCAAGTGCCTTCGGCTCAGGTCATGATCTCCCGGTTTGTGGGTTCGGGCCCCGCGTCGGGCTCTGTGCTGTCCGCTAGGAGCCCGCTTCTGATCCTCTGCCCCTCCCCTGCTCGTTTGCTCTCCATCTCTTTCTATCTCAAAAATAAATAAGCAATAAAAATAAAATATAAGTAATACATTTAAAACGAGAAAGATTTCCTTTTGGCTGCTTAACTTTTCCTCTGAGCACCTACCACAGCCTAGCATTATTAATTTGTTAGGTTTGTGGGGCGCCTGGGTGGCTTAGTCGGTTAAGCGTCCGACTTTCGCTTGGGTCATGATCTTGCGGTTCGTGGGTTCGAGCCCCGCGTCGGGCTCTGTGCTGACTGCCAGCTCAGAGCCTGGAGCCTATTTCAGAATCTGTGAATCCCTCTCTCTCTGACCCTCCCCTGCTCATGCTGTCTCTATCTCTCTCCTAGAAATAAATAAAACATTAAAAAAAAAATTTAATTTGTTAGGTTTGTTTTCTGGGGCCCCTCGCAGACTGGCGGCTTCTGGAAGGTGGGGAGTTTTGTCTGCCTCGCTCGCACCTGCACCCCTCAGTGCCTGGAAAGGTGTCTGGCCCAGAGCAGGCGCTCAGTACAGTTTACTGAAGGAACGAACAATTCAACAGCTAGTATGAGGCTAATGGGGGTGTTTTGGGCACCGGGGAGGCGGGGTAGGGGGGAGGCCCAACTTTTGCCTCCTTCATCACCACCTCTGGAGCTCCTCCAGGAAGTTCCCGGAGCAAAGTGTGGACCGCTTCCCGCCAGTGCTGCATCTCCTGGAGAAGAGACAGGAGCTGGCAGACATGGACCGGGGCCTGCAGGCTCAGAAGGAGGTGAGCCTCCACTGCTGTCCCTGAGACGTTTTGGGACCCCCAGTCCCCCACCCCACCCGCCAAAATGACGGTGAGCGGCGTTAGGGAGGGATGGAGCCAACTTCTGAGCTATGGGGTCTGAGACGACTCATTGCACCGCTCTGAGCCTTGGTTTCCTCATCTGTCGAATGGGGATCAGATGAGATCGGTTGGTGCAAATAAGTGTGTACTGAGCACCTGCTGTGTGCACAACATTGCACTGGGACTTAGAGGCCTCACCTCACTCCCCGCCCTCATGGGGCTCACAGTCTGGAGAAGGAGACAGACTGGTGTCCAGGTGGTGACTGCTATCAGGTGGGGAAGCACTGAGGAGGCGCTGTGGGAGCCCAGAGGAAGCATCTATCTCCGGGAAGGGGTGGTCAAGGAGGGCTTCCTGGAGGAAGTAATGTCTTGGGGTTTGGGGAAGGGCAAGTCAGCTTATCCAATAAAGGAGGGTAGGGATGAGGAAGGAGAGAAGGGGAGAGGGAACAGCATATACAAAAGCTGGAAGGCAAGGACAAAACACAGGTGGATGAACGTCCGGAAGCGAGTGTCAGAGGGAGGGGGGAAGATGAGGCCAGAAGGGCCGACAGGGGTGGATGTGAGCCGGGGTGTGCCGACAAGATCAGGAACGACGGAAAGTAGGAACCTGAAAGTGCTGGATAACTTGAACCCCAAACGCACAGACACCCTCTCCTCCCCCCCGCCCAGGTGTTCCAGAAGGCAAGGCTGGCGCTGAAACAGCGCTGGGAAGAGTTGGAACAGAAGGAGCAGGAGCTTAAGGGGTCCTTTGTCCGCTTTGACAAATTCCTGCAGGTAGGTGGGGACTGCTGGCCGTCAGTGGGTCACAGAGGCTCCCCCCCGCAGGGACAGACTTGCACGTGAACTTTAAGCGCGCTAATACAGGAGGTTGTAGTAGGAAATACACACGCACCGCCTGACGTATTCGAGTTTTCAAAAACTGGGGGGGAGAAGCGAGGGACCCAAACCAGACACTGGCTAAATCTGCCCACGGGCCATCTGTCTGCTGCCTTCGACCCGGCGGGCAAGTGTTGGGGCGAGTGGAAGCAGGCCTCCAAGTCCTGAGGGCAGTCGCCTCCCCTCTGTCCGCCTCCCCAGGACACGGAGGCCCGGCGCGGCCGAGCCCTGCGGAGGGCGGCCGAGGAGCGGTTCCAGGCGGACCGCCGGGAGGCGGAGGCGCTGCGGCTTCGCGCGCAGCTAGAGCAGCTGCAGCGGGAGCGCGCGCGCCTGCAGCGCCGGCTGGAGCGCCTGGAGCCCTGCGCGCGCCTGCTGGGGAGAGCGCTGGAGCAGTTGCCGGAGGTGAGTACCCCGCGGCCGCATCCTCGGAGCTCGGCGCCACCCTGCGGCCTCGGGTAGCCTCTGGAGCTGCTTTGAGGGTACACTACTACCGGAGCGCTGACTGTATGCCAGGAATCACCAACTATTGAGCACTGACTGTATGCCAGGGACAAGGTTTGCTCTGAATTCTCCCCCAACGCCCGGTGAAGTGAGTCCTGTTCTTGTCCACCGTTTGGAGAAACCTGGGTTCCCCCCCATGTTTACAAATGGGGAAACTGAGGCTCAGAATGGTAACTTTCATTCAAAGGCACAGAGGCGAAGGAGGGGGTGCATCCAGGCACTCAACAGATACCAGTCGAATGGAACAGTAAATTAATACTAATTCCAGGCAGCGAAGTTGGCTAGGCTTTAAGCTGCAGTGGGGAGGGGCGGGAGTAGTCCTTATTTCTGGGGCAGGGGCTGTGTGATTCCCTCGTTTTACACATGGACTAACCGAGGAGGCGCCGGAGAGCCAGAGCGCGAGGGGAGGGGGCTGCGGGCCGGCCGAGTCCCCCCACCTTGACTGCACCCTAGTTTCAGGAGGTCCCCGAGCTGGTGGCGCGCTTCGACCGCCTGGCGGATATGCGGGCGGCGCTGAGGCTCACGGAGCGCCAGCTGCTGGCTGCCCTGGAGGAGGCGCGCGCCCAGCTGCAGCGGCTGCGGGACACCCGGCAAGGGGAGCTGCTGGGGCAGGGCCAGCGGCGGGTGCAGCTGCTGGAGCGCCTGGAGGCTGCGAGGGAGCGCGCCCTGCGCTGGGTACGCCCCGCGGGAGAGCGGGGGTGGGGGCGCCCAGGGCCCCAGCCTCCCGTCCCCGGAGAGGAGCGCAGGGGTTGACGAGGACAGAAGGCAACGGTTACCCCAGAGAGCAGCTGCGTTAACGGGCAGTTTCAAGCATCTGAAAGCGATTTCAGACACGGGAGGCCCGTCCGAGCAGAACCTGACGCCCAATTCCTGCACTCCTCTCCGGGAGGCGCCCAGGCGCACCTGACTGGGGGCGGGGGGAGAAGTGAGGGGCTCCAGCCCTCCACAGCAGGCTCAGACCTTGACCTGGGAAGGGGGCGGGGTGCTCTCCAGGAATCCAAGTGGATTCAGATCCAGAACACAGCGGCTGAGAAGACCCTCCTCCTGGGACGCACTAGAATGGCAGCGCTCAACTTGTTCCAGCTTGTGTGCCGGCACAAGGCGCACCCACCTGCCCTGGACATCGAGGACACGGAGGGGCAGCTGGAGCAGGTGAGCTCGCTCCCGACGTGCCCTCCACCCCCCAGGTCCAGGAGCTTCACCCGCCGGAAATCTCTGGGCTAAGTAGGACCCTTTGTGATCAGAGCACCTGCATCCAGCATCACACGTGTGGGCTCTGTGGCTACCCAGGCACCCTGCCCCTGGGGCCTGGGCTGGTCTTGGCCCTGCTGGGCACCTGCTCTGTGGCCAGAAGGAAGCCATGTCCCTCTCTGGGTCCCAAGCCTCTCACTTGAGCCCAAGGGGCGAGGTGTTTGCTGACGACATTGTACATTTATGCCAAGAGTCTGTCTTTCATCCCAGGGTCAGACATGGATAAGAAACCGGGTTGAGACTCACGCTTGCTCCCCGCAGAGCCAGGCCTTGGCTTCCCTAAAGAGGGGGAGGGCAGGGCCACGTCCTCATCTTTCTGCATAAGGGCCCCTCAAATGGCACCGTGGCCCAAGTCATTCAGGTCTGCAAGGCTGTAGAACACGTGACATGGTTACAGAGGGAGGGGGTTCTGACTTCGGACCCCTCTGTTGTTCCTAATGGGGACCCAGGGCATGGTTTCTTTAAGGGGAAGAAACACAAAAAGAGGCACCCAGCCCACGCCACTCCCGTCCTGCACCAACACCAAACGCCAGGAACTGGGGCCCTGGGAGTCTACCTGGTGCCATCCCCCCCCCCCCAGGGGGATGGATGTGTGTCTACACTGCTCTCCCAGGCGAGGCCCAACGCCCCGCGGTACACAGCCAACTCGAGGGACAGAGGCTCACTGCGACGTAGCAGGCGAGGCCTGTCCCTTTCCAGGCAACCCTGATGCTACCAGAGAGAAAGGCTCAGTGTGGGGCGCCTCTCCAGCTTTAACGCCTGGAGTGCTCCCTGGCCTCTGGGCCTGGGCCTCACACCCGTGGAGGCGACAGCGGCCAGAACACAGTAACCAGCTTTCGTGTCCATTGTAGCATTTTCCCAGTGCCCCTGCACTCGTGGCAAGGGGTCACCTAGTTCTTAACTACTTTTGTTAGAAATACGGTTTCCCTCTCTGTGACAAATGCAAAGGGAAAACCCAGAGCTCGTTCAGGCTCTAGCTCTTGGCACCAGACCCACGAACTGTGAAGTTTGTATCCATAAAGAATTAGAACAAAATGTGGGAGTGTTTGCAGAAGACGAGAACAGACCAAACACCAATGACCATGATCTGAGTAAACGGCGGGGAGAGGGAGGGGAGGAATTGATGGAAGTAAAAATACTTTTAATTGTAATGCAAGTGACAGGACAGCCAGCTAGTACACTGTGACAGGACCTGCCAGCGAACCCCAGGGGTTTGGGACTGAGGCCCAAAGAACCCAGAACTGGGTTTAGGACAGGTTCGCTGGCTGCTAGGAACCACCATCGCTGCTGGCTTTTAATAGGGGTCTCCTCCCCCAACCCCTGCTTTGCAGCTTCCTGTTGCGGGGGACCAGACACTCGGGTGGGGACCAGACACTCGGGGGGATGGGATGTGACTCTGGCTGTGTCGGGGACCCCCAGGTGAAGCTGTTCATTCTGGACCTATCCGCCATGGTGTCTGGTTTCAGTCAGGCCGAGCCCACACCTGCCTGCCAGCCCTGACCCAGGTGAGCAGGGGCACAGGGGGCTCCCCGGAAAGCAGGTGCACATTCCTGAGGGGTATGTGCTGAGTGGCGCTCAGCTGAAAGATGGGAGGGCGATGCCTGCTGGGCCGCCATGGGAAGTACATGAGAGGTATACAGCAAGAACTAAATAAATGTGGGCTATGGGGGGGGGAACCGATCACTCATCCACCACATGGCCTGACACCAGGTCCTCCCTCCCAGGACAGTCACAGCACCAAACAAGCTGACATTTGTCTGGTGTTTGGAACAAAGCCTGATGCAGATTCTGGTAAATTCTAGATGGGTGTTGGTTAAGTGAAGGAAAACAGCACAGGCAGGAGGACCACACAGCACGCGCCCGTGCAAGGGGCGCCTGCTCACAAGGGCTGTATTGTGGATGGGCACGAGTGTGGACCCAACTGCTGGAGGCTGCCCTTGACCTTCCCAGGACCCCAACCTGGGGCTGAGGAGCACAGGGCCTGAAGGGCAGAGGCCAGGACAGCTCTGACCTCTGGGGTGTGGGGGCCTGTTAACCCCTTCACAGCAGGAGGGGTGAGGGGAGCAGCTGAGCCCTCCACTCACACCCCACTTCCCATCTCCCTCCGTGAGCCCATCAGGCACAGGCTGTCCCTTCTAGCCCCTCGGGGAGACTGCACTCCTGATCCACTGGGGTGCCAGATAAAGGTTTATTACATTAAAAAGACATCACTGGGCCTTAGGCACTCAGGGCCCAGGACCCTCTGGGCCACCCCCTCTGGGCCCGGGAACCACCTGGAGCACGAAGGGGAAGCGGCAGCAGCCAGGTCTTCGCTCAGGTTTTGGCCATCCCGCCCTGGCTCGCAAACTCCCATGTGCCCTCGAGGACCCGTACTGTCTCGTCTTGGGCAGAGGCTGCTGGCTTGTGGACGATGGCGCTCCTCCTCATGGACGACAGCACCCGTGGGGCCAGGAGCACGGTGGTGCATGGGGGACATCGGCTGGTGTCCGCACGCGGGCCAGCAAGGAGTTGTGGAGCCGGGCCGCCCGCCTCACATCCCCTTCCTCATCTTGCCCTTCTTGGTGCGTGTGCCACGGCCAAAGGCGCCCCGCTGCAGCTCCTGGGCGCGGCGCCGGTTGCGGGCGGAGAGCTGCTTGAGGCCCCCGCGCTGCAGGAAGCGTAGCTTCTGGGCCCGGCGCCGCTGCTTCAGAATCTGCTGCTTGGTCTTGAGCTCCGGGCGCACGCGGCCTGCAGGGGCCCCGGGGGCGCGGGGCTGGGACGCACCTGCCAGGGACAGGGATTCCCGGAGCTCAGCCTCTGGGATGAGGAGCCCGCAGGCCGCCCCTGTACCCCACCCCCTCTCTGTGCTCACGGCTGTGGCCCCAGGATCCGGCACACCACAGGTGCTCAATAAAGCTCACGCGGTCTACCGCTGTGGTCAGTAGCAAGGAACCTCAAGCCAACGCCGCCAGGGTTCAACCCCCAGCTGGGACCTCCTGGACCTTGGGCAAGTCACTTAGCTTCTCTGAGCTCCGTTCCCCACCCTGCGAACTAGGGATAACAGCACCTACTGATGGGTCCCAGCGAGGAGAGGAGTTACTTGTACAAAGGGCTCAGAACAAGAGCTAGCCCAGATTGAGAGCCTCTGAAGCTTAACTGTCAGGATTACAGCTCAGCCAACAAAGGCTCATGGGGCACATGCTCCATGGCGGGCACTGGATAGTCACAGCAGAGATGGAGAGACTCCAACCCTCTCTCCCTGGACTGCATGCTCTAGGTGTGTTAGCTTCGCCTTCTTTGGTAGGACAGAGGTCAGAGGCGGCCAGAGAGGGGAAGGGGCTTGCCCAAGGTCACAGAGGAAAGCCACAGCAACAGAGATCAGAGGCTCCGTCCCAGGCTGCTTTCCCACGTCCCCAGGAGGGCACTTACCCCCTGCCTTGAGGCTCCCCTTCCTCTACCATGTTCCCTCTCCCTGCCCGGCTCCTCCCTTCCCATGAGAGTGACCTTTTCAGGGCGCCCACACAGATGATTATTAAGGCGGCCCCAGATGTCTCCACTGGGGCCAGAGCGCCTGACAGGGGCCCATCCCCTCCTATGGGGACAGAGCATGGAGGGAGAAGGCTGCTCCTTCCTGAGCCCCCCAGGCCATCCTCACCCCGCCCAGAGCAGCGGCCTGCTCCGCCCCAGGTAGAATCGGGAGCTGAGCTGCAAGGAGTGAGAGAGCCCAGGGGAGGTGGTGCAGTGAGATGGAGACAGAGGCATGAAGAGGGAAACGAGAGACACAGAGAGGAGAGACAAACACTGGGGGTGGGGTGTAGAGAGAGGCACACAAACAATGAGGGAGGCAGAAGGAGACAGAGGAGAGAAAGACTGATGGGAAGAAAGGACACAGAGAGAGAAGGGAGAGAGAGTCGGGGGCGGGGACAGGGCTGCAGGGTCACAGACTAAGTGGCAGAAACAGACGCAGAGAGAGAGCCCCAGAGAACGACGGAGAGGAGACGCTGCCGAGATAACAGCAGACAGACCGAGAGGGGGACAGGAGAGGCCCAGCCCGAGAGGAGAGGGAGCACGGCCGCAGGAGGCCTGGACTGAGGAGGGGACATGGGACAGGGATGCAGACGCTCAAGGCAGTGAGCAGCCCCGCGGGGCTGCGGGGAGGCCATGCATGGCTCCCGAGCCACTCCGCTGCCCTTGCCTAGAGGACGTTCTACCTTCTCACCCCCAGGTCACGTGTGGTGTGTCCTGCACACAGGCCGTCCCCACATGGCAAGGGGCAGCCCTCCAACAGCAAGCTCATGGCCAGAGGTGGGGGCAGGGTGGGGGGCCATCGCCCCTCAGGGCACGTTGTGGGGGGTGCTGACCGGCCCTGGCATGCGGGCAGCTGACCACGCTGTGGTTGGGGGCGCATGCCCTGCAGACAGCCCGTTCAGGTCCCGCTGCGGCCCCGCGCCGGCTGATCGGAGCCCAATGCCCAGACGATCAAACGGCCCACTGGCCAGCCTGCTTGGGGGGCCGTCCTACCTTGGCCTCTGCTCCGCTTCCCACCTCTTCGCTCTGCGCCTCGCGGGTGGGATGCCCCTTCGTCGTCTGAGTCACGATCATCGATTTTCTGTTTCTTTTTCCACTTCTGGTAGCTGGGGAACTGTGTTAAGGAGACTGTGGGCAGGACCACGATCCTGCCCCCCTCGCAGATGCATGTACCACCTCTGGGCTGAAGCCGCTGGGCCCCACCCCCTGGCTCCACCCCCTGGATACAGGCCCCACCTCTAGGCATAGATAGAAGCCGCTGGGACCCACCCCCTGGCCACACCTCCTGGATACAGGCCCCACCTCCAGGCAGAGATAGAAGCCGCTGGGACCCACCCCCTGGACACAGGCCCCACCTCTAGGCAGAGATAGAAGCCGCTGGGCCCCACCTCCTGGCCCCACCCCCTGGACACAGGCCCCACCTCTAGGCTGAGATAGAAGGCGCTGGGCCCCACCCCCTGGCCACACCCCCGGATACAGGTCGCCTTTGTAGGAGCTGCTGATGTAGCGGCCACTCTCTGTCTTGATCTTCTTCTTGTCTTCCTGTCCTGACTGTCCCACAAAGCGCTTCTTCTTCCGATCCCTGCGGGAGAGGGAGTTGAGGGGGGCTGCCGTGGAGGGAGGTGGCTGGGTGGCCCACTTCCCCTCGGCACCAGTCACTGCGCTGCTGGGAGGCCTCGAGGGAAGCAGCAGCAAGTGCTCCACGAAGGCCCGCTCCCTGCCCCTCCTCATCTCTGCCTGGCAGCCCAGGAGACGGGGTCACTGGGAACTGGGGGCCCTGGAGCAGTGTTAGGGGCCCCCTGGGAGGGTTCCCAGCCCTACTCTGCCACCTCCTGGCTCCGTGACCCTGGGTGGACTCCCATCACACCTCTGGAACAAGAGTCCAAAGGGGAAAAATGGGTCATGAGCTCTCACTCTAGAAAGGTGAGCTAGCAAATAGGGCAGGTGGACCAAGACCCCTGTTGTGCATGATCAGGTCAAGGGGACAGGATGTGGGGGAGGGGTGGGGTGTTGTCTTCGCTGTGTGTGATCACGCGGGGCAAAAAGGGGGGAGTCGTCACACCCCAGGCTGTGCACCGTCAAATGGGGAGGGGATATTTCCGATCCAGGGGATCAAATGGGCCAGGACGGGCAGGGGGCCCCGTGCCTGTTGTGTGGGACCACGCGGCGGACCGGCGGGCGTGGAGGGTGCTTGCTCGCTCACTCACCACTTGAGCTGCTGCCGACCCCTGGTCAGGTTCTGGGCTTCATCCCCCATCAGGTCTAGGACGGCGCCAGCCACCTGTTGCTCGAAGGCCCCCGCAGCCCCACTGACGCTCAGGCTGCAGAGGAGGGGTGGGGACAGGTCACAGGGTCAATGGGGAGCCCACCAGGCCCGACCCGCCGCACCCCAGACCCGGCCAGCCACTGACCCCCGCTCGCTGTCGAAGTCCTTGGGTCGATAGGGGATATAGAACTCCTGGTCCTGATGCCGGGCCTCCTCCCTCCGCCTCTTGGCTCCCCGGTCAGGTCCCCGCTGCTGCCGCTTCCGGCCCATGACCTCTGTGAAGACATCCTGGCAGAGAGACACCCCGCGTCACACCAGCAGCCCCTGGGGAGCCTCCCTGGCCTCCCCGCCCTCCACCCCAGCTGGTGCCGAGAGCCAGGGGCTGAAAGTCCGGTATCGCCATTCAGACCCTGTTTCCTTGTCCCACTGCGGCACCACCTCGGCACCAGCAGAGCAGACTGGGTGGGGGAGTGGAGGGCCGTGGTGCCAAGCGGGGCAAGACCTGCTTTCCAGCCCCAGGTCGGTCCCTCAGGCCATGTGACGGAGGCAAGGCCCTGCCCCTCCCTGGGCCTGGCCTATAGCTCCATACAGTATGGACCAGTCGCGAAGTTTTCACCTGTCACTGAGCCCTCTGTCCAAGTCCGATAGAAGAGGGACAGCTGGGTAGATCCAGGACCTCGTCCAACCAGTGGGCAGGGTGCCCGTGCCCCCAGCCTACCTTCTAGCA